AATGTGGGGGGCAGCGGTTGCTGAGGCTAAGTGTGAATGGTAGCCTGAAAATAGCTTGCGGGAAGGCGGCCAGAGGGGCTCTGAGGTCTATAGATGGTGAAGCACATAGGCAGGCAGAAGGAAATAGAGACCGCCTGAAATACTAGAGAGCTCTCCCTTAGTTACTCAAGGTCAACCAGCGCTAACGTCAGCTGTTGTGATTTTTGTTACATCCGCTTGCGTGTGTTTCTCCATGGGCGCGGCCTTAAACCCTGTGGGCCTAAAGGTATTTGGCAGCTTTTCAAATCAATACGTTGGTCGGATGCACCGACCACGTGGCCAATTTACCAGCATTTACGGGCATGATTCGCAGTGAGTCACATGGTCCTCCAATGTTATGGAATTGGGCGCACAATATGTTAACTTTTCGTACTGGTAAAGTGAAGCAGGACAAGCTACGGTCGAGGCCATGGAATGGGTTGCTGGTACCGGGGGCATGGATCGTGGCGCTGGCTCGGGGGTCGGGGACATGGATCGTGGCACTGGCTCGGGGGTCGGGGACATGGATCGTGGCACTGGCTCGGGGGTCGGGGCATGGATCGTGGCACTGGCTCGGGGGTCGGGGGCATGGATCGTGGCACTGGCTCGGGGGTCATGGATCGTGGCACTGGCTCGGGGGTCATGGGCTTGGGTCGGGACGGCCGGGACGGGAATCTGCTGCGGCCCAGCGCGGGACATCTTGCGCTGCGACCGAGCGGGGTCGGAACGTCGCTGCGGCCCAGCGCTGGACATTGTGCGCTGCGACCGAGCGGGGTCGGGAAGTCGCTGCGGCCCAGCGCTGGACATTGTGCGCTGCGGCCGAGCGTGGGAAGCATAGGTGGCCTGTAGTCGGACCGCAAGGTCCATTACCCGCTCCCAGTGCGAATCGCCGCCAGACGACCACGAAATGGTCTCCTCCTCTGGGGACCATGTGGGGGGCGGCGGATGGTGACCCAGATGCCTACTGAGGGCTCCAGATGGGGAGACGGAGTAGTACAAGTACCCAGCTGGAACCCCCGGGAGGACCGTTCCCCCACTACGGGCAGCCCGCTGGAGACTCCGTGGACCGCCCATTGCCAGACGGGTTCCCCTGAACTCGTCCAAGGGAAAAAACTCTGCGGAGTCCTTTCTTGGTCGCGTCATTCTGTCACGGGCGCGGGTGGGAGGCAGGACTCAAGACGCAGACTTTTCCAAAACAAAAAGACTTTAATAGTCAAAAGGTCCAAAATCCAAGGGGCGAAAACACTCAGGCATGAAACTATTAGTGTTGTTACCTCCCACCCTCCTGCTTCGAAGCTTGTGTCGAAATATGAACCAGTGCAAGGCGAAGCAATTGTATCGGTGCTCGGTTCGTTCGCTGCTGATCACGTGATCAGTGACGTCCGAAGCTTCGTTCCGGCGCACAGTCACGTGACAGCTTCGAATTGATTCAAATGGGCGCGAAACAGGGTCGGGGCTTGTCGGTTTGATACAGTCAAAGTCAGTGTAGTAGTCGTAGCAAAGAGCAAATTTACAATGGAACCTGTGGCAGCGAGGTCGCTCCGAGATGTGGGAGCACTTCAATTTGATTTCCTCTAACAAGGTTTGTAATAGGCAGACAAAGTCTGTCATTTGTATTGTGTAGTTATGGATGTTTATTTTTATTGTGGAGACCACCAGATATTTGGCTGAATCAAACATTCCACGGAGTGAAGACCCGCTAAAATATTGAATCAAACACAAACATGTGTACCCACATCTATTTGTATTGGCACGTAATCATTTGAGCATTCCTGCCTCGTGTCGTGTAAGCGCCTTTTTTGTAAGGCAGGGGAAATAGTATCTAAGAAACCGACTCAACCCCAATTCTGTGGAGAACATTGTGTTTCTCAATAAAAAACAATAATTTCATGCCCCATCCCATGTGTCCACAAGCACTTCAATATCCTGTCATAAGAAACCTGTCCAAAAGCACAATCACTGCCCCACTGACCTTTCCTCTGCACATCACTTCCCACATTCAAACGAATCACATAAGTCCCTATGACTGCCATGAACTGCACAGTAGGAAGCACTTGCTGATTTTTTAAATTATAATACACAAACAAGGACACAATTCAAACCTGAAAAACAATAGTTTTATTCATATAGGAATCCATGTATTTATTAGATGATTTATTGGTTCAACTTTTCATAATCATGTTCAACCCACAGAGACTGGGCCAAAATATACTGGTGGGCTATTTGATACATTTGCACTACAAGTTTTCAACAGCAGAGGTCATCATAGAGTTTGCGATGCATTGAATGAATGAACCTTTTTCCGATACAATTGGCTGGAAAGCTTCACTGGTTCAGAAAGCTTCACTTTGCCATCACTAGAAACTATGGGCATCCCAAGACAAAAAGACAGGACAAGGACATGCGTGGCAAAAGACAATGACGCGACAAGTGACACAGGAGACACATGGTTTAAATACACAAGGGAGGTGCAGGTGATTGGACACAGGTGGAAACTATTAGACGATCACAGGGGATGACGGGACAAGGCAGGAAGTGAAGTTACCCGGGGACACGAGTGGCAGAAAACTACAAAATACAACAGGAAGTGAAACCACACCGTGACAATTTCCTTGGTGGAAAGCGGAAATGATTACAACCGCCTGCAGACAAGTAACAGAGATAAGCCACGCCCCCTTTCAGGGGGAATAAAGCGTGGCGATAATATGCTTTGCACGCAGCATAAGAGTCGCCGCGGTAATCGTCGTCAACTCGGACTCTTCATATTGTTCTGCTGCAGTTCTTTTAAGGCTGTGATGTCATCAAAAGGTGACTGACAGGGTGTGACAGAAGTGGACAAAGAGATGACCTTCTCGGTCTTTCTTTTAATGTCACTCTGCTGTGTCCCTTCTCTGCGTCCCCCTCCTCCTCCTCTGTGTGTTGACATAAATCGTTCATGAAGTGACATTTCAGCAACACTCTTGTCAATCAAACTGAACAGGAGGACGTGGAGGGAGGAGGGAGGAGAAGGAGGTGGAGGGAAGAAGAGAAGGTGAAGGGAAAAGGGAGGAGGAGGTGGAGGAAGAAAGGAGGAGGAGAGGACAGAGGGAGGAGGGAGCTGATAGGAAGTGGAGGTGTGTTCTTTTTACAAACATCTCAACCCTTTCTGTCCAGGAGCAGTACGTCTTCATCCATGATGCCATCTTGGAGGCGTGTCTCTGTGGTGACACAGCTATTCCGGCCAATCAGCTGCGGTCAGTTTACTATGAGATGAACCGATTGGATCCTCAGACTAACTCCAGTCAGATCAAAGAGGAGTTTAGGGTAAATATATCTATTTAAATATATGCATGTTTCTGCTTGTAAATGTTGAAAACTCATTAAATGTGAAACATAGTTCAACTCTTCAGTTAGAAATTTCTGTAAATGGTAATTAGCAATTTTTTCTGTTATTAATCTTAATAACCCTTTGATAAAGTGTAATAAACGTTATTATTATTATTGGTGATGGTATTGACCCTGATTATTGATGATATTGATCTTGATTAATGATGATACTGATCATAACTAGAAAATTCAAAATGCATGTAGCAGTAGTAGTACTATCAGTAGAATAAGTAGTAGTGGTTTTAGAATCAATAACAGTAGAAAAACTAGAAGTAGTAGTGTTAGTAGTAGTACTAGTATTATCAGCTGTACTAATACTATTAGTCATTGTAGTATTTGTAGTAAAATGAGTAGTAGTTGTGGTATAAATAGCAGTATAGATACTGGCAGTACTTTTTGTTATAGTAGAGTAGTCATATCAGTTGCAGGGTCACTGCTAGTAGTAGTATTTTTAGTACAACTACTAAAGGAGTTATTTTAATAGCAGTAGAAATACTAGTTGTAGTAGTAATAGTAGTATCAGTTGTAGTAGTATTACTAGTAGTACTAGTAATATATGGTAGTTGAAGTAATAATAGCAGAATAAATCCTAATAGTACTTTTTTAAGTAGTAAGAGTAGTAATATCATTTAAAGTGTCACTACTACTGGTCAAAATAGTATTTTTAGTATTAAGAAAAGTTTAAATACTAGTAGTAGTAGTATTAGTAATGATAGTAGCAGGGTCAGTTGTTGTAGTAGTACTACTACTTGTACTTGTGATATTAGTAGTATTTGTAGTAGTATTTGAAAGAGCAATAAGTATTTCAACAAAACTGCTTCATTCTGAGCTCCATGGCTAAGGCACAGATAATCATTGAAGCTTTTATTTTGAAATGATGGAGGAGAGGGGGTTGGGAGACAGAATGTTTGTCCTTCAAACTAAGAAGTTATTATTTCGATAGGTCTCATCACAAACATTACAGTAAGAATTCCCTCCATGGGGGGTTTATTTTGAAATTATGGGATTGTGTGGGGGGAGAAAGAGAGAGAAAACTAGAGAGAGGGGGGAAAAGAGATTTTTCTTTTTTCGATCTTAATTTTCTTTTTTTAAACACGGTCATGTCACACGCATGACGAAAGTGAAGTCTAAATGGTGAACTGTTTGTCGATCTGGACTCTGGCTCCACTCCTCAGTCGTTTTCCACCAGTCAGTCGGCCAGGATCAGAGAAGTATTCCTCCAGGTCCACCCCCTTCATGTTCTTTGTTACCCCCCCCCCCCCGTACCTGCTGGTGACAGTGGGCCCAGACTCACCCGCTTCCCATCTTGTTCTCCTTCCGTTCTTTGATCCCTTCTTGGCTCGAGAGGCCCCTCTGCTGCTCCTCGTCTTCCTTCTCTTCAGGGGGGCTTTACGCCCCTCCTCCTCCATGTCCTCGTCGCTGTTTTCAAACAGCATTTCTCCAGCATGTGTCTCTTGACTTTTGCCCCTCTCACTCGCCTCCCACCCCGCTGGACCCCACCGTCCCTTGCTCTCCACTCTCAACCCACCCGTCCCCTCCTGTCCTCCCTGTCGTGACTCCACTAATCGGCTATTATGGTTCAGCTGTGGGAGAAACAGACACAGACTGCAGCGCGTCTCTCAGTAACCACGGTTACGGCACAGTTGGGTCATTGACGAGCTGATCAGGGCACAACAGCAATTTACACAGAATCCACACCTCAAACAAGTGTACTTTACCACAAAACTATAACGGTTATCTAAAACATAAGTTGATTTGGAGAGAGCCAAGACTCTTTGTCTGTAGGGTCATAAGAACGGCTCTAATGGCAGTTTGTCTCTCTCCCGGTGGTCTGGGGCCAAAAGTCAAGGTCTGTGGAATTCCATAGCCACATGAGTGAGACCAGCACAAGCACGCCATCGTTGTCAACAAATGAAGCCTGAAGAGTTATTATTGTGGCCATGAGGGCAAGATAGAAATCTTTTTTTAACCAGATTCTGACGCTGCTGCACACTCTAGATGTTCAGCTCGGACTCGAACAGACTGAAACACTAGTGAAACATAATCAGTGATTATGAAGAAGTAAAATAGATATCAACAAGTTTAATAGATTTGATTCATAATGACATTCATCTTGACTAATTGATGGATTTGATTGGGGCTCAGACGCTGAACATGGTGACTCCCACGCTGCGGGTAGAGGACTGCAGCATCGCTCTGCTTCCTCGGAACCACGAGAAGAACCGCTGCATGGACGTGTTGCCTCCGGACCGCTGCCTGCCGTTCCTCATCACCATCGACGGAGAGAGCTCCAACTACATCAACGCAGCTCTGATGGACGTATGTATTGCCCCCCAGGGACTTTTGTAGAGCGTTCAATCACATCACATAGTCTTCAGCAGATTATGTGCAGGTTCATGTTAATGTGTCAAACCACAAATATTGAAGGCTACTTAATCAAGTACATTTTACAAAAATATTAAATATTAAACCCATGACAAGATTTTCTATTCATGTAGACAGACATATATATATATATATATATATATATATATATATATATATATATATATATATATATTTATGAGAGAGAGACAGACAGTCATGGGTTTAGTAACTAACATCCAACACACCATTTCACCACTAAACCACTCTGTTGTTATGGAAACCAAGCAAACAGTTGAGTGTGTAGTGGTGTTTGTATGAGTGTGTGTTTGTTCAGAGCTCCTGTCATGTTAAAGCTCAGGGAAAGTAAAATTCAATCTGCTAGTCATGTAGTTTGTTGTTCCCTCATATGGTGTCACTTCCTGCTGAATGACCATTTATGGCCTTGTGTTAATGTGACAGAGCTACAAGCAGCCATCAGCGTTCATCGTTACCCAGCATCCTTTGCCAAACACAGTGAAGGACTTCTGGCGTCTGGTCCTCGACTACCACTGTACGTCCATCGTCATGCTGAACGACGTCGACCCGGCACAGGTACATAAACTACACACTCATTAACACACACACACACACACACACGCGCTAAACATGTTGCGTTTTTTTTGGCCTCTGCTGCTAAAATGGCGTAGCTGTTTAAAAAGTGTAATAACCCACAGGTGTTTTTTCTGTGGGGACAAAAGGGAACTCCTGTGAGTGCTATAATCTGTAAAAATCTATAATCTAAAAGTCTATATGTTACCGGTGAAGAAATAAATCTGTGTAACACTAACAAAAAATCTTTGAATTTGGAGTCCTATAGAACATGGGGATAGCAGGCTAAAGCCTCCTCTAAGTGATAGCCAAGTGTGTGGACAGTAATCCGCAAAAGGTTTCACGAGGATAGAGGGATTAGGCTTTTGTGAAGACCTGTCCTAGAGTAGAAGGCCTCAGAGTTAAAATCATGATTTTTGGTTTCCCGTAGGCTGATTTGCCCGTTTAAAACACTTCATCGTATAAGGCAGCCTCCTTAGAGGGCATTTTAGGATTCATATGCTCGGATGTTTGGTGGAACTATCGGTTGTGGTCTTGGCAATGTTCAGTGTGTCGTGTCCTTTGTTCAGACCAAGCTTCGCCGAGGAGATGTACATAAGCATATGGAGATGTTTTAGACTCATTTGCATATCCTATTGTATAGCTTGTTGGAGTGTTTGGAGTATTATAACGGGTTAGTGCAGATTGTAGCCAAGACTCCAATGTTTCTAACCCTAACCCGGTCTGAAGCATTGATATAGGGTGGCACGTGTCGTGGTGGTCAGCACTGTCGCCTCACAGCAAGGAGGTCCTGGGTTCGACTGTCCAGTGGCCTTTCTGTGTGGAGTCTGCATGTTCTCCCCTGTGTCTGCGTGGGTTCTCTCCGGGTTCTCTGGCTTCCTCCCACAGTCCAGAGACCTGCTCTGGGGATCCGGTTGATTGGGGACTCTAAATTGCCCGTAGGTGTGGATGTGAGTGTGAATGGTTGTATGTCTCTGTGTAGCCCTGTAACCCTGGCGACCCGTCCAGGGTGAACCCGTCTATCGCCTGAAGTTGGCTTGGACAGACTCCAGCCCCCCCGCGACTGTGTGCAGGATAAGCGCTTTGCAGATGGATGGATGTGATGAAGCATTAATATATTTGTTTGTGATGAGTACCCAATATTTATGCTGCAATATGGATTTTGCTCCAGTTTGGACCCTATTGGGGGGACGCTCGGAATGAACACACATTCATGCAAACACTTTTATAAAGTAGTACTACTTGAGTTTTTACTGCCCCCCCCCCTGTAAGCTATTTTATAGGGTAGTACTACCTGAATTTATAACCCCCCCCCCCCCCCCCAGTTGTGCCCCCAGTACTGGCCTGAGAATGGCCTCCACAGGCTCGGCTCCCTGCAGGTGGAGTTTGTCTCTGCAGACCTGGAGGAGGATGTCATCAGTCGCATCTTCAGGATCTACAACACGGCCAGGGTGCGTTTCTTTTTCTCACAGCCACCTCCCTCCAGGTTTTCACCACATATATAGTGTCTATATTTTTTTTCAGATCGAAGTTGATTTTCGTTGTTAATATAAAACCATCCCATCTTTCCTTCGTTGGCAACCATGCTTTCTTTTCTATGTCCTTCTTTGGTTTCCCTTTCCTTACCTCCTCATTTCCTTGAATCCATCCTACCTCCCTTTACTTTCCCTATGTCCTTGCTCATTTTCTCCCCTGTGTGTGGAGTGACTTGAGCGTAAGTTTGTTTTGAGCACCCTGTCCTCTCTGTGCTCCCCCAAGCCACAGGACGGGTACCGCATGGTGCAGCAGTTCCAGTTCCTGGGCTGGCCGATGTACCGCGACACGCCGGTATCCAAGCGCTCCTTCCTGAAGCTGGTCCACCAGGTGGAGAAGTGGCAGGAGGACTATGACGGGGGGGAAGGCCGCACAGTGGTGCACTGCCTGTAAGAGTACTGCAATGCTACTATTGTACACTAGTACTACTGTTTATTGTGCAACACCACTATATTACAATAGTGCTACAATTAAACCTTTATTTAACCAGAAGAGTCCCGTTGAGAATCTCTTTTTCAAAGGGTGACAACAGTACACCAGTACTAGTAATAATGCTAGTAGATACTTAATTAATACTACTGTTGATACTGCAATAGTACTCGTTTAACATTAACACTGATACTGATACTGCAGCACGTAGATAGTACCAGTATTATGATACTAAGTAATAATAATGCTCAGCTTATTTCCAGAATCCATCAGTGATGTTTTGTCTCCATCTAGTGGAGGAACGTTGTGATCAACAGTAGGGAATATTTTCTCTCCTTGTTTCATTCACCCCCCCTCTCCCCTTTCCTCTTCTCTACTCCTCTTTTCCTCTCCTCTCTCCCCTTTCCTCTTGCTCCTCCCATCTCCTCTCTCCCCTTTCCTCTTGCTCCTCCCATCTCCTCTCTCCTCTCATCCTCTTGCTCCTCCCATCTCCTCTCATCCCCTTTTCCTCTTGCTCCTCCCATCTCCTCTCTCCCCTTTCCTCTTGCTCCTCCCATCTCCTCTCTCCTCTCTCCCCTTTCCTCTTGCTCCTCCCATCTCCTCTCTCCCCTTTCCTCTTGCTCCTCCCATCTCCTCTATCCCCTTTCCTCTTGCTCCTCCCATCTCCTCTCTCCTCTTGCTCCTCCCATCTCCTCTCTCCTCTTGCTCCTCCCATCTCCCATCTCCTCTCTACTACCCTTTCCTCTTGCTCCTCCCATCTCCTCTATCCCCTTTCCTCTTGCTCCTCCCATCTCCTCTCTCCTCTCTCCTCTTGCTCCTCCCATCTCTTCTCTCCTCTCTCTCCCCTTCCTCTTGCTCCTCCCATCTCCTCTCTCTCTCTCCTCTTGCTCCTCCATCTCCTCCTCCTCTCTCCTCTGCTCCTCCCATCTCCCATCTCCTCTCTCCCCTTTCCTCTTGCTCCTCCCATCTCCTCTATCCACTGCAGAGGAAGAGGAGGACCTTGTTCTTGCACTGCCTTCTTTAATTGGACTCCGATTCACTTTGTTTACTCCCCATGTATCACTTTGTTTTTTTGTCAAAATGAAAGTAAAAGAAGCAGAACAACGGCAGGCTCACCGGTCACCTGCTTTCTGCTTTCTGCGTCCGAGTGACAGGATCTGTCAGCAGACTCTTCTGGGACTTTGGCCTCGTCATTCTGAGCGCCGACATGTTTATAATATTTATCATATTCATTGTGTTCATCAAATTAATGCTCTTTGACTAATAATTAAAATACGATGATCTCATCTTCTGATCCCGCAGCGCACACACCAAAGAAAAGATACGGTGAACGAGGGAAGATATCGTGATTATGATAAAAGACATTATGACTACGAGGAAAGACAACGGAATCATGAGCGAAGATATCGTGTAAATGAGGACAGATTTACTTATTACATTTTGTGATTACAAAAGAGATTTATTAACCACAAAACAAAATGTAGTTCTTGTGAGGACTATTTACAATATAACATTTAGATTAAACTTAGTGTGATAAAAAAACAAACAGTGGTTCTTTAAGTCATTCAATTGGATGAGCTTTCAAACTCACTCTGTGTCGAATGATCAGCTGGTTGAGATGAATTCATCATATGTGTTTTTTCTCTTAAGACCCATTAAGATTTGTAAACCTTAAGTTGTTTGTCAGTGTGTTTGATCTCTGCTGCAGAGGGTAACCATAGCGACTACATCGTCCCCAGGTCTGGTCCCCGCAGGTTGTGGATCCTGGTTGTTTGCTCCAGGGCAGCCGTGCGAGGCCGGTTGCTGGTTTGGTTTTGGACGAACGTGGGGGCGAGCTGTTAATAATTTACATAGAGCAGGAAGAAGAATATTTATTCCTTTGGTGGTTTTTGGTGTTGATGTTGTTGTCATTGTTCTTGTGAAGCACAGAGAGAGACAATCATGTTAGAAAATGTTAATGTTCCACCATCACAACCACTTACACCAGGAAACAACCGAACCCTGGTTGCATTTGTCTCTGGCACAGACAAGAAATATTGTAATGAAAGCTTTTATTTATGTTGTATGATTCCAAAATACTGAAAATAAAATGTGTATACACTTTAACTGTCACCTTACTATACGCGTGGTGTAAAAAGTGTTTTTTATTATATTAACATTATTGTTATAGTGTGTGGTTTTCGAGACTTCTCTGGGTCATATGTGAACTTTATTAAAACCGTATGGACGCACATAGTCGAAGTTACACTGTTCGCCCTCCGGGCGGCAGCATTTCCCACATTCCAACAAGTGCCAGCGGAACCGGGAGAAGAAGAAGAGAAGCGGCTCTGTTTCCGGTTTCGGGCGTCGTGTCGGATGTGTTTTGGTGTCACAGTTTAATCTGTTGTTAGTTTGAAACACTTCCCGAAGGCGAGACGCTGCTGCGCACTAATCGCTGACCGACCAGCTCGCAGGTAAAACGGACTCTTTCATTTCATCTGTCCGATTCATATGTTAGCTGTCGTTAGCATTGTGCTAGTGCTAACAGTATTAGCTAATTCTAGCATGTGACCCGACGATTTAACAATATGGACACAGACGGGCAGGCTGGTGAAATACCAGAATGTTAACGTGACTTTGTTTCATTTGTTGTAAACAGACATGTTATTGTTGTAAGATAAAAGTACTACATGTTGGTTGGTTAGAACATGTATTACTTTTCAATGTACTATAAATGAGTGCAGCAGTAACATCTAAATACATTTTACTGATCAATGAATGCTTTCAGAGATGTCGTCAGGACTCCTGCCGCCTCCTGGGGGAGGAGAACATCTTTGTGTCTTCCTCCTCAGAGACGACGACGAAGAGGAGGAGAGGAGGAGGAGGAGGAGGGAAGTGGGGTGTCAGTGGGAGAGTCCTGAGGAGGAGAGGAAGGAGGTGGGATGTCAGAGTGAATCAGCAGAGAGGAGAGACGCTGCTGTTCAGGTGGACCTGCTGAACCAGCAGCTCAGCTGGAGTCAGACAGGTGTGTGTGTGTGTGTGTGTGTGTGTGTGCGTGTGCGTGTGCGTGTGTGCGCGCGTGTGTGTGTGTGTGCGCGCGCGCGTGTGTGTGTGTGTGTGTGTGTGTGTGTGCGTGTGTGTGTAAGGGGGGAACTCAGACACACTAAACAGAAATGTCTCTGCCTGCAGGTTCGTCGTCAATGCTGCTGCAGTGGTTTGCTGTGAGACCTGATGGACCAGACGGTGGCGCTCTGCTCCAGCACTGCACCAGAACCATCAAACCCCCTCGGGCCAGGTCCCAGAGAGACCTCAGAGCTCAAACACCGCCAAAAAAGGTCGTGGTACACGCCGCTACCGCCGCGTGTCACCTGTTAATGACATCCAAAGGGAGGAGGAGGAGGAGGAGGAGGAGGAGGAGGAGGAGGAGGAGGAGGAGGAGGAAGAAGAAGAAGAAGAAGACAGAGGTGACCCCACCTGGAATCCACCGGAGGGAGGTGAGTGACTAAACAAAGCAATGTTGTTCAAAGTCTTGATTGTCTTAATTTATTCCTAAATATCGGACGGCAGTTAATATTTAGTATTCCTGCATGAATCAAAGGTATTGTACATCGTTTGCGTTGTTCTTTGTGTACACATGACATCTTTTGCATTTTGCAAGGGTTTTTCATTCTTATTTTTATCCTCACTTTTCATGTGACTGTAAAGCCAATTAGTAGTTTTGGGCTATACAAAATGAATTGAATTACATTACGTTATATAAATACATTTAAATAAAAAATGTATGTAATACAGTGTAATGTAATTTATTTTCCAACAAGTAACTCATTTATTGGTTATCTTGTATCCTGTTTTCTATTTACTTTTACATTTTATTTTTAATGCAATTTTATTTAATAGAAAATTGTAACGTTGTTTATCTTATGCAGAAATGAATTTTTATATTCATATCAAGATGTATCTTTTATCAAAATCAGTTTTTTTTTGTTAACCCCCCAGTTGTGAACTCTCACCCGTCTGCTCCGGCCCGGGAGGAGATCCGGCTGGACTCCCATGATGCACCTGTGTGCTCGGTGAAGCTGGAGGCCGACAGCACCGTGTGTGACGTCTGTGGTAAAGTGATGAAGAACAAGTCGAGTCTGGCCCGACACTCCTTCATCCACACAGGCAGGAAGCCCTTCTCCTGCCACCTGTGTGACCTCCGCTTCAACCGCAGAGACAACCTGCAGCACCACCTCACCCGCCTCCATCCGAATGGCGTTGCCCGCCGTGAGAAGCAGCGAGCGGTCCAGTCCTGGCTGTGCGCTGCCTGCGGGAAGACCTTCAGCTGCAGGTCCCGCCTGAAGACACATGAGGTCATCCATTCAGGGGTCAAACCCCACCGCTGTGACCTCTGTCCCAAGGCTTACATGCGCACTAATGACCTTGAGCACCACAAGAAGGTCGCACACGTTCGCGGCGCCGCCGAGTCCACGCCACCCAGCTCGCTGCTTTGCGACCTCTGCGGCAAAGAGTTCAAGTGCCGCTCGCAGCTGGCGGTCCACTTCCAGACGCACACCGGGGAGCGGCCGCACCTCTGCGACATCTGTGGCCGCAAGTTCGGCCGTCAGTACCAGCTGAAACGCCACAAGGCCCTGGTGCACGCCAAACAGTCCGAGGGCGATGAGGCCCCGCCCCCTGATGGGGTCTTGGCCTGCAGCGTGTGTGGGAAGCGTCTGAAGTCCGAGGCACTCCTCGCGGCTCATGCCCGCATCCACTCGGGCAACAAGCCCCACCGCTGCGGCATCTGTCTGCGCGCCTTCCAGCGCGCCACCTGCCTGAAACAGCACCACCTACGCATCCACCTGCGGGTCAAAGTCCACAATTCGCCGCTCGATGCCGGGCGCCAGAGGAGCGTGGCGCCCACCCGGGCCTTCTCCTGTCCAATCTGCGGCAAGCCTTTTAAGTTCAAGTCCCTGCTGGCGAGCCACTCGCTGATCCACAGCGATGACCGACCCTACGGCTGCGACTTCTGCAGCCGCAGCTTCCGCCGCCTCAGCCACCTGAAGAGGCACCGCGAGGTGGTGCACGCCAACGGGGAGCGCCCACCCCAGACCTTTGTTTGCCACATCTGTGGCAAAGACAAGAAGTGCCGCTCGCAGCTGGCCAGACACGTGATCATCCACAGCGGGGAGCGGCCCTTTGCCTGCGACCTCTGCGCCGCGCGCTTCAACCGCAGCGGCAACCTACAGCAGCACAGGAAGCGCATGCACGGAGTGGGGGCGGTACCTGCTGTGGAGGCCCCACCCATCCTGTTTGAGGATGACATGACACCCGCGCTGACTTACAAACAGGAGGAGACGGTGGTGGCTGTAGACGACACGGAGGTCGTTACCTTTGACCCCTCAGTCTGAAGATGCAGACAGACGCATGTAGGCGGTCTGGCAGAACCGTAATAGAACCTCCCGAAGAACCTTAGACGGAGACACTTTCTGTTAATCATCAATTCTGTTCTTTCTTTTTAATAAAGGTGATTGATCTGAGATTAATAGTCAATTTATCGTTATTATAGGTTTATATTCATTTCTTTTTTTTTTTGTTTGACATCCTATTCTACGGCTTTTTAGATCAATGGATAATATTGCATTTAATTTATATAGCGCTTTTCCTAATGTTCAAAGTCACTTTATAGACCCATTTTAAAATATCCTAAAAGCTAAACAATAAAATAACAACCCAAGCAAATCTAAAACACACACACAAATCTTAAAAGCAGTTCTGTTTTGAGGTGTGTTGATTTGTGATTTGAATCTGGAGGTCCGTGCAGTCTCCGGTGAGTTTGGGGAGAGCGTTCCAGAGGGAGGGGGCCGCTATGGGGAAGGCTCTGTCGCCTCATGTCCGGTGCTTGGTCCTATGGGGGATGGATAGGAGGTTGGCGTCAGGTGAGGTGGGAAGAGGCCTGATTATCGTCCGAGTGGAGTAAGTAGCTGTGGTATTAGTCTTGTTGAGACATAGAGCTGGACATCGGCGTAACCGTGAAAGAGGAGACCATGTTGACGTACGATGTGAGGATGAACAGAAGAGGACCAAGCACCGAACCCTGGGGGACGCCTTAAGGCAGAGGAGCAGTGTAGGAGGTGCAGTTAATACTGATGAACTGTTGATCAATGAGTTCTTTATTAATCTCTTCTGGGTCAGTGGGGAGCACAGTCGTCCTCCAATCAGAGGGTTGTCGGTTCGATCCCAGGTTCTGCTGACCCGCATGTCGTTGTGTCTTTGAGCAAGACACTTGCTCCTGTAGCTGCGACTACAGTGTGTGGATGTTAGTGACTGACGGCAGGTGTCACTGTGTGTGGTTCTCCTGTCATCAGGGTGTGAATGATGTCATGTAGTGTTAAAGCGCTTTGAGTGGTCAGAAGACTAGAAAGACGCTGTACAAGTACAGTCCATTTACCATTTATCTTATTGTCTTCCAGCAGTGGGACCAGAAGACATAATTTGGAGTCAATCATTGTCCCAAGGTGGGTGTGTGCGTGCAGCCGAGTTAGAGATCTGGTTCATAATAAATATTACATATTCTTTTCATGGAATACTACATTGTATATGTTTTATACATTATAAGTCTCACTCAAAGGATATTTATTCATGACATCCACCCGAGCGTTAACGTACAATAGACACGTGCACAAACATGAAAACACAATACAGTGTAATGACATTTGATCAATCACATTCCTACAGAAAACAAGCTGGTCCAATATCGGGTCACACGATTGGCTGATAGATGGTTTGTGGCGCATATGAGAGCTCCAGCAACAGAAAACTCAACATGACGTCACCACAAGTAACATTTAGTTACCAAGTACTTTTTCATCATTTACACTGAACATGTAACAACGGTTCACTCAAATATGAGAAGATCTGACGTTTATGATGGTTGACAAGATGTTTAGTTTCATTATATATAATTTAGTATCTTTTTGTTTACCATTTTACTTGTTAGTAAACACTTGTATTAGCTTATTTCTGTGATTGTTTTGTATAACAGTTATTACATGTTATTACATGTAAACTCAATGAGCTTTCTCTGTTATTACCTCAACAATAAAAGAATATATTATACACAGAACGTATCTAAATATAAGGAGCAACGTATCTTGCTGTTCTTCCCATTTCATTGAGCAGAAGTATTGATCCCCGTTGCTCTGAAATCAAACGCGACTCCACTCGTGTCCTTTTCTCTCTGCTGCTGATCACCTCCACTTCATGACATGAGGACGTTAGACCTCCATCCGGTCTGGTTTGGTCGTCCTGGAGATCCAAAGGTTTGAATGTAACGTTGTAGACGTCTTGGTGCGAGGAGTACTGCGAGAAGAGAGTACCTTTACTACTGTACTGTAGTTTGGTACCAGTTTCAAGTACTTGCACTGTGTTTCTGCTTCTACATTAAAACATGTTTCTGATAGATTTAGGTACTTTACTAATATATATAGTACCAATACTTTAATGTATCAGTACTTTTCTGAATAGTATTTTTTACTGTGGAGTCATTTCCAACACACTGCAGGTTTATTGAATCTAGAGTGATTAAGTGGCCTGTTTCTCTCACACACACGGCAGTGAGCCAGGTACTGCTGTCAATCATCTCTTGTTAACAAGACGTCTGAGTGTTTGACCTGTCATAATCGCAGAGTAAGCTTTTTACACACACACACACACACACACACAGCCTCCTCAGCAGTATCAGAGATGTGAAGCCCCTCCTCGTCCTCTGAGACCTGATCGGGTAACATGTGGAAGTCAATGCTAAGAGGAACGTGTTGTGACGTGAATCAAAAACAAGATATTCGTCCTTAGAGACAATTTAACAAACTTCACTCAAAAAGAACATAAAGAAATCATTTCTCTTATCACTTCTGAAATAACATACCGTTAAGAGACAGAAGAGGAGGAAGGACTTCACCTCTTTACTTATCAGAGGGAGGCAGACAAATTTGTAGTTTCTTTATTCTTACCTTCTACTGAGCATCTGAAAACAACAGGTCCCGGAAGCCACCAGGATGAGCAGGAGCAGGGGTATTGTGGGTATGATGACGTACACCAGTAACATGCCTGGAGAGAGACAGAGAACCATTACACCTCTTCAGAGTTCACAGGGGTCAGAAGGGTCAGAGGGGCTTTTACCTGAAGCTCCAGCCATGGTCACCTGAGGGGGTACCTCCTCACTACCAGTGGGTTGTTTGACCACACTTATACCTGTAGTGATCTCTGAGGACACACATGAATATAAATATGTATATGTACAGTATATACGCGCACACAGAAACACACAGACATTTATTTGAAGACATGAACTAATGAGGACATCCCTGCTCACCTGTGCTCCGCCCTACAGGTGTGTTGCCCTTTTCCTTCAGGTACCCTGAAAAGAAAACATAAGGGCAGTTAGAGTGAGTGAACAAACTAAATTAATAAAATCAAACAAATAATAAATGAGTGAAAGAAGGGGAAAGAGACAAATCATGAAAGAAACGAAAATACTAGAGGGGGGTGGGACTAGAAACAGCTGACATTACATTATGTGTCATTTAGGTGACGCTTTTATCCAAAGCAACTTTCAATAAGTGCATTTCAACCATAAGGATACAAACTCAGAAGAACAAGAAACAAAAAAGTCACCAGAGAGAGTGAAGCTGATTGGCTGATGGTACCTGGCTTGTATTTGCATATGAAGTTGTGCTTCATGTTGCAGCGATCGTCATTCCATTGGTGGAGATAAGCTCCACCCAGTCCAGGTAGGGCAGTTGGTTGATGGTACATCACAACACAGGCTTCTCCTCCACAGGACGGCTCATCAAGATACCAGTTCCTAGATCATCATCATTATCATAATCACCACCATCATGATCACCATTATCATCATCGTCACCACCACCACCACAGTCCTCATCATCATCCTTCATCATCATCACCACCATGATCATATCGATCATCATGATCATTGTTGTCATCACTTCCTCATCACCATCATCATCACCTGAAGGGGGCGGGGCTTCCATCAGTCCAATGGTAGAGCTCTGGACAGGCAGTGAAGGTGTTGCTGAGTTCAGGATGAGTTTGATCACCTCCGTCCCTTCGGGTCAGACCGATCCAGAAATCCCCGTCAGCTATACCTCCTCCTGTACCACCCACGGCTCCTGAACGCAGTTTCTAGAGCAGGGGTGTCAAAATCAATTTAGTTAAGCTACTTTGCATTACAGATCATTTAGCTGATGCTTTTATCCAAAGCGACATACATCGCATTTTGAACCCATGGCATTTACATTTTTGCCCAGGGAGCAATTAGGGGTTTGGTGTCAGGGACACAGAGCAGCCGGGGCTCGAACCACCAACCTTGTTGGCGCACCCTCTCTACCCATGCACCACCGTCAACTTTGATCCAGACCAGTAAAATCATAGTTGAGGGGGGACCCTCAATAGAGGGTTAGCGGATGGTCCGACGGGGGGGTGGTCGACGGGGCGGGCGGGTGTAGCCATCATTTTCTAGTGAGCGCTGCTGCCTGGAGTGACACCGGGATCGGAAATGTCTAACGCAAGGGTTCCCACACCTTTTCTTCAGTTTGCGAGCTACTTTTCAAGTTTCCCTGTCTACTACGCCCCCATACCCCAGGCCATTCGCCCGGATAATAATAACAATAATGAGTAGTAGCGGTAACCAAAGAGAACAACACCGCTGCATACCATAAGCGCAAAACCAAACGATATAAAAAAGCACAGTCACAACCATTCCACACATTCTTGATCATTACCTTACTCGAGGACTCAGCCAGGGTTGCGTTATTACATTAAATGTGTCCGTTAGCCACCAAGGATCGCTAATTAGCACTAATACGTTTTCCATTAGCTCCCGCGGTCGACCGCGCATGCAAGGTGACCTGGCGTGATCTTTTTTCCAGGCGATCTACTGGCACCGCCTTGGCGATTGGCCTGTTGGGCACCCCTAGTCGCATGCACTCACTCACAGAGTGCGACCTCCAGTGGACTGATTAGGAATAGCAGCTACTTTAATTACTCTGTAATTTTCACAATAGCAAAGTCATCCGGGGGCCCGAACTGAAACTGTAGTAGGCTCTAGAAACAACGAGGAAGAGATGAGAGTAAGACGAGTAAGCGGAGATGCAGAGGAGGAGGAGATAAGAGGGGGATAAGGAGGAGTAGGTGTCTCACCTGCAGCAGATGTTGGATGTGCGTCTGCTCCTCCAAGCTCTCAATGCTGAGCAGAGCTCCTGCGTCCATCTCACAGGCCTGCAGAGCCTCCCTGAAGGAGACGCGGCTCGACACGTCGTGGAAGTATGCGATTTTGTAGCAGGGACGCTTTGGACCTCTAAGACACACTGTCTGTCCTGAGAGGAGGAGATAGAGTTAGAATTCCTCCTGCTTTGTGGTCTTTTACATTAGTCCTTGACTATGAGGCCTTTCCTCCTGGGATCCCTTAATAGGTTTCTCCCCCATTGATCACAACTAGAGGGGTGAAAGTAAACCTTCTCCTGTCTTATCCTAACCAAATAAAAAGCTTTCCTCTTGCTTAACTCCATTCTAGGAGGCTTCTTCTCTGTCGATCTTGTCTAAGAATCAAGATCCCTTACTTGTGCTTCTCAGTGCTTTATCCCTTACTAGGAGGCTTCTTAGTAATTGATCCCTTACTGAGAGACTATTGTGTGCTTGATCTCTTTCTATGCAGCACTTGTGAAATAACTGTAACTGTAGAGTCACTGAGAGAGAAAATACAGACACACATCTTCTGGCCTGTGTGTGTGTGTGTGTGTGTGTGTGTGTGTGTGTGTGTGGTAGTGAATATCTGCAGTGATTAATACACACTCTGCTTAAAACAGCCTCACACACACTACTTTAAGTGATTAGCTGGATTCTTCTTCTGCAGCATCATCACTTTACTGCTAAAATCGCTAAGGAGCTTGTTATATATCTCTAGCATCTCTACCTCCCTGTGTGTCCATCTGTCTGTCTATCTGGGGGACAGACTAGAACAGTTTTGCAAATTACCAGCTGCTCTGTATTTAATGTAACATGTGCAAAGTAATATTAAAAATAACGTGAGTGAAAATGTGCTTAATTTAGTTTAGGAAAAAAAGAGAAAGGAGGTCCTTAACCTTTACTAGTTAGCATTCAGGCTATTTAGGTTTGGGATTGTTTCATGTTATTTGGTAAAAAAATCTCTTTTTACTATATAACATCATTATTCACTATTCACCAGCCTTTTGGTTTTTATTCATTGTTAAACTACATCCGGGGTTAACATGACAACAAAATTTGAATTTCTTAACTCACCGCTCACAACCCGTGCTCCACATCCCCGGTTTACCACCATCGCCATGACAACCCAGAGGATTGACACCATCACCTGGTAAGACATCAGCTGGGTTTCTTGAAAAATGAGATAAAGTTAACAATTGTTGAGATTCTCTCTTGATGTTGTTCAGCGATTTGAAAAAATAAAACTTAAAAATAATAATACTGTTTGACGCAAACATATCTTGCTATGTCCATTTTCCTTTACTTCCTTTCTCGTTTCTCTTCTCTGAGATGTGAAGCGTGAGGCGGAGAGAAGGCTTCTGTCTCTCCGTTTCTCCCCCCTCGGCTCTCCTCCCCCTCCCTCTCTGATCGATGCGGCCTAAGAAGACCCAGATGTTACCTCCTATATCATTAAACCCAGGGGGGACACATACACTTGGATTTAATTCACTTACACTGATAGGAAGCCGATTGGTTTCCTGCAGAGCAGCTGATCAATAAATGAAACACTCTCACATTGCTGATATCTGCAGTTATGACAAACACTCATAAGCTCTTTTCTCTCCATCGATCCGTCTCAAGGTGTGAAAACCATCTCCTCCAAAAGTTCATCCTCATCTGGTGCTCCGTCTCACGGTCTCTGAGCTAAGCTACGCTAACACACTCCCTCTGTCTCACTGTAGTATAACTAAAGCAATGGTAGTAATACTAGAAGTACTAGAACTGAATAAATGGTAATAATACTAGTACTAAAAATAAATCAATGAAAGTAATATTAGTAGTGTCATAACTAAATCAATGGTATTATACTAGTAGTACTATAACCACATCAATGGTAATTAAAACTAGTAGTACTACAGCTAAATTATTAGTATTAATACAAGTAGTACCGGAGCTAAATAAATGGTATTTATGCTGATAGTACAATAACTAAATCAATGGTAATAAAACTAGAGGTACTGGTACTAGAACGTCATAAATGGTAATACTACTTGTACTAAAACTAAATCAATGATATTAATACTAGTAGTACTAAAACTAAATGGTGACAATACTAGCAGTACAAGAACTAAATCAATGGTGACAATACTAGTAGTATTAGAACTAAAACAATGGTAATAATACTAGTAATACAGAAACTAACTCAATTTTAATAATGCTATGGTACTAGAGCTATAATCAAATTTAAAATGCATTAAATAAAAGCAATAATACTACATTAATTAATAAAAGTATTCCATGATTAGCCAGTGAGTGTTTTATGTCTCACTTTGTATATTTCTTTCTTATTCTGAGGTACAGAAGTCATCAGAAATGGTTTTGTCTATAGACCTGTTATTTTATATGAATACAGGAAACAAACTGAAAGTCTCCTGATGTGTTTCCTTAATAAGACAGATTGTTTGAGTGCGGCAGCAAAGCGTGTGCACCCATGTGAGTATTAATGGAAATCAATAGAAGCCTGAGTTGTTTTCAATGTCGGTCACTAGTGTGGATTGACCAATTTTATGTGTGTTGTCCCTGAATGCAGCACGGAGACATTAAATGCACCTCCTGAGCTCTGGTGCTGTTCATAATCTATCCATCAATATATATATATATAAATCTCTCTCTCTCAGAGAGATTTTTTATTAAATGCCCAACCAGAGAGGAGAGCACTCTGTAGGTCTTCCTGAATGTCTTGCCTGTGAGTATTTTTTGGGCAGAACTCTGCATCGTCCTTCCGGCCTCCGCCACCCGCTTTTGACCCACATGACATAATGACGCGACCAGGGACGAGAGACACACATGGCTTAAATACACTGGGAAGGTGCAGGTGACTGGACACAGGTGGAAACGATCATGGACCGATAGGAAAGTGTGCGTGTGTTGACACAATTACACTCTAAAACTCAACTTCTGTGTGTGTGAGCTGACGTTCTCACTGAGGTTTCTTCCCTTTTTTCCCTCTGGACGGGTTTTTTTCATTGTTTGGCGAGTTGTTCCTGTGCCGATGGAGGGTTTCGGGACAGAGGATGTCGTATGTGTACAGACTGTAAAGCCCTCTGAGGCAAATTTGTAATTTGCGATTTTGGGCTCTACTAAATAAATTGAATTGAATTGAATTATGTGTGTGTGTGCGTGTCAATGTGTGGGTGTGTGTTGACCAGAGTTTGAACTCAAAACGTTGAGTCTTCTTTAAAACCTCTGAGAGAAAATTGAGAGTTCACCTGACAGTCAAACTCACACACATCTTCCCTTTTGGTATAAACAACTGTTTTTTACACACACACACAAATACACACACAGTTAGATCGCTCCTTCTATTGTCAGTATTGATCGTCTCTGTCCAGAAACTCACTCCACTTACTGCTGATTACCTCACACACACAGACACAATAAAACATATAACCCTATATATACACTACCGTTCAACAGTTTGGGGTTTCCATGAAAATTCACACTTATTTCTCAATGAGTTCGAAAAGGAATCGAAAATATAAAGACATTGACATGGTTAGAAATTATTTTTATTTGAAATATAAATTTTGTCCTTCAAACTTTGCATCAATTACAGTATTTGTTAAGGGTTCGAAAAGCCCTCGAGGGAGATCTCACCCCTTTGTTCTCGTCCCGGCCGGAAACGATGATTCAAAAGAGTCAACTTGCTCAAATTTAAAAAAACCAAAAAGTATTTAATAACTAAACAAAGTTATATGGAATACAATTACAAAGTGAAATACAATGTGAATAGTAAAATATTTCACAAAACAGAAAATTCTCAGATCAAGTCTAAAGTGACTTATCAAAGCGGCTGCAGGAGAATTCTGCCCGTCCTTTCCTCGCTTTGGCCCTTTGAAAACTCCTGAAGTGTCTTCTTGGCTTCTCCTTCAAAAGTGTCCTCTTGGTCTTTGCTCTTCACATTCTGCTGTAACCTGAGACCTTCTTTGTCCTATCTGTCCCTCACATTCCAATACGTTCAATGTAAATGCAGTTGGCTTTATGCCTCAATGAGTGAATATAACAAAGCACACATAGTTTGTCTTCATTGTATAACTAGTACACTTTAATTACAACACATCATAAATGAGCACAGTTCATCACACTACATCTAATACAGTTCATGTGGTCCAATTCTCAAGACATTTGCCCCAGTTGGCCGTCTCGCATTCAGTTGCTCATCTACTACCTGACAAGAGAAAAAACTCCCAAAAAACCCTCTTTGGGGATAAAATTGGGAGAAATCCAAAAAGGACGGCAACTAGCATCCGTCCCCAGGTTTTAACATCACATTGTGACAGAATGTTAATGTGTACAGTGTTTATATGATTTACATGACTATACTTTGTGTTTGATTACATTGCATTCACGTCATCTAACATGTTAATGTAATAACTAATATCTAACGTCACACAAACTACAATTCTAACACTAAACATTACTACATGTACTATAATGTCTGCCACTAGATAGATAGATAGATACTTACTACGTGTGCACTTCTGCATTACGTGTCATTTATCCGACGCTTTTATCCAAAGCGACTTACGATAAGAACATTTCAACCATAAGGACACAAACTCAGAAGAACAAGAAACAAGAAAGTGTGATTTCATCAAATAAGCCGATGTACAACTTGCTGTAGATAAGAACCGTTATAAGTCCAATGTAAGTGCTGCAGTTAGTTAGTGTGTTAGTGGAGGTAGAGTCTGAAGAGGTGTGTCTTTAGTCTGAAGATGTGAAGGCTCTCTGTGGTCCTGGTGTCTTCAGAGACCTCCTTCCACCATTTAGGAGCAGGACAGCAAAGAGTGGAGATCTAGTCGAGTGTTTTGCTCTCAGTGAGGAGGAACAAGCAGTTTATCACATGCAGAGCGGAGAGGTCAGAGGTCGGGATGTCGGGTTGGACCAGGTCCTGGATGTAAGCTGGACCCCATCCATTCACAGCATAGTACGTGATCACCATGTTTAGAACTGGATGAGCCACCGGTACCAGTGAAGAGAGTGGAGGAGTGAGGGAGAACATAAAGACCAGTGGAGCTGCTGCATTCTGGATGGCTTGTTGGGCACTTCTTGTGTATCAGACGGTCGAGCTGTTCAGCTCAATGGGGTTGAGATCTGGTGGCTGCGCTGGCCTCTCCATTGCAGACAGCATACCAGCTGCCTGCTTCTTCCCTAAATAGTTCTTGCATAATTTGGAGGTGTGCTTTTGTCCTATTACAGGAGGAAACCGTCTGTGTCCACAGGGTATGGCATGGCGTCGCAAAATGGAGTGATGGCTTTATTTGAAATCCATTTTACCTTGTACAAATGTCCCACTTTACCAGCACCAAAGAGGCCCCAGACCGTCACATCACCTCCACCATGCTTGACCGATCGCGTCAGGCACCCTTCCAGCATCTTTTCACCTGTTCCCTTTATTTGTAATGTTTTTAATATATTTTAAATGTTTAACTTTAACTTTATTCTCTTATTTTATACTAACCCATAGCCTTATTCTACTAACCCATTGCATTTGCTTTGCACTTCATTTTATTTTATTTTATTACTTGTGCACTGCTGTCTTGTTGTCTATTGTTACACTGTCTGCTGTCACGCACCAACCGCCAAGACAAATTACTTGTATGCTTGACATATTTTGGCAATGTTTCCTGATTCCTGATTCCTGTTCTGATCTCACAACACCTCCAACTTTGTTTGTTTGTCCATAACACTTTTTTCCAATCTTCATCTAATGTCTTATGTCTGTGTTATTTTGCCCATATCGATCTTTTCTTTTTATTGGTCAGTCTCAGACATGGCTTTTTATCTTTGCCCCCCTGCCTAGAATCCCAGCATCCCGGAGTCGCCTCTTCACTGTAGACGTTGACACTGGCATTTTGCAGGTACCACATTAAGAAGCTGCCAGTTGAGGACATGTGAGGCGTCTATTTTTCAAACTGGAGACTCTACTTGTCTTCTTGCTGAGCTGGGCCTCACACTTCTCTTTTTACTCTGGTTAGAGCCCATTTGTGCTGTTCTCTGAAGGGAGTAGTTCACACCCCTTGTAGGAAATTTTCAGTTTCTTCGCAATTTCTCGCATGGAATAGCCTCAATTTCTAAGAACAAGAATAGACTGGCGAGTTTTTTTGAGAGTATAATCAAAGCCACAAATGTGATGCTCCAGATACTGAACTAGCTCACAGGAAAGCCAGTTTTATAGCTAGATATATCATATATTACCAGCCACAGTGGCTGGTGGTTTACCAAAGTCACTAGCTACTCAGCAATTTCATCATCCACAATTTTGTTGTTGGGAAATTGAGTTGAATTTGATTAAAGTTGACTACGGTTTGCTACAATTTACTTGAAGAACTAGATTTACAATCCTTTCAACGAGTGGCGGCTGGTGGAATTCCTTTTTGGGAAGCCAGCCTATCGGGTGCCAATGTCCAAGGTATATATACGGATGTATCTAGATATAGTGCGCACACCTTACCAATTACGGTAGAAACCAAAGTCGCTCGCGTTCATTACGGTAAATAGAACGTAAACAGGAAGTGACGTCCAAATCAGCGGCAAAGCTTTTTGGTGGAGAAGATGAAGATTGAGCTCGATCTGAAATGACTGAAAATGGCGCTCAGGTCAGAAGGTAGACTTTACGTCTACGTCTCACTGTGTTTTAGCGTCGTTATGTTGTCGAACAGTTAAGCATGATGGTTGGGTCCATGGACAGTTAAACAGTACATTACGGTACGGTCTATAAACAGTCATACCTGATGGTGGGACCGTCTATAAACTGTAGAGGGATATGTTGTTTCTCTGCAGCTTTTTGCTCGTCTGGAGACCCGTCCCTGTCTTAAGGACATCGAACCTAAATTGTTTCCAGAGGATGGTGGACCTAACCACGGTAACTGACCAGGCCCACTTCCCATCATGACATCAAGGAACCATAGCATAAATATTCATCTACATGCATCCATGTTCAATGAATGTCACTGACTGCCATAACTGATCAGCTCACTTTTGATTGACAGGTGAGGTGGTGGAGCTGTATGGAACAGAGGGAACAGGTGAGTTCACTTTACAGGATGTACCTATGAAGTGCCTTATATATATATATATATATATATATATATATATATATATATATGGGATTTGTATAGGGTCATGTCTTGCTAATAGCTCATGTGAAACTAAATCATAGACATCAATAAAATTAAATGTTTCATAATCACTAAGATAATTCACAAAATAAATAAATAACAGGGCACCACCCTAAAAGGGCACTAACAACCAAACTATAATCAAGTCTATTAATTTATATTCACTCATTAAGACGCTAACACGCTAGGTTTACGTTTGAACACTGGACTATGCTTCCAGCCATCATCACATACGTGTACACAAAGTAATCACAGAAAACGACCACATGGCTGCATGTGGTTATGAGCTGGCCGAGGTGTTGCTAGTAGACTGTTCATCACGTATTCCTCGTGTAGTTAAATCTCCGTCTGTAGGTAAATCAGTCACGCAGCTTGGAGACTGAATTCCTGTTCCAAATACCTCATTTGTGAGAATCAATCTAGCAAGTCTGTTGCTCACAGCCCATAAATACTCATACAGACACCACATGGGTCCCTGTGACGGTGTGATATTCAGCTTCCGACGCAAACTAAAACCACCCGTCTGACGACTATACCTGGACACGTTAGCACTTTAAAAGCATGTACGTGACATGTGGGGACAGAGGCTCTGACGCTGTGGACCCCAGAGGACGCTCTACCAACCAGCATTAGGTTTGCTGAGAACGTGGACTGTTTTAAGGGACCAGTGAAGACTCATTTGTTCAGGCAAGGCAATTTTATTTGTATAGCGCTTCTCATACACAAGGCAGACTCAAAGTGCTTCACATCATAACATTTCATACAATAAAGTGAAATAAAATGCAGGAATTAAAAGACAATTTAAAAACAGCAAATAAAATTATAAATTAAAATCTTATATAAATAGTTTAATTAAAGGCAGAGGTTAAAAGTGCAATGTAGGTAACATGTAGCAGAAGACGAAGCTGAACATACGTTTTCAGTCTTGTTTTAAACGTGGTCAGAGTTTAAGTCTTAAATCTTCAGGAAGTTTATTCCAGCTGTTTGTTGCGTAGTAACTAAATGATGCTTCCCATGATTTGTATTTACTCTGGGAATCACTAACCGATTGGTGTCAGAAGATCTTAGTGATCTTGAAGGCTTATGTAGTGGAAGCATATCAGTGATTTACTTTGGCCCTGAACCATGTAGTGATTTATATGTGAGCAGCAATGGAAGGATTTAAGAATTGGTGTAATGTGCTCACATTTTTGGGTGAGGCTAGCTTTTGGGTGTCCTCCGTCTTTTACTCTTATGATAATTTGTATTTTATATTGACTGTTTTAATGTCTATGCACATTGTAAAGCACTTTGTGACCTTGTGTGAAAAGCACTGTACAAATAAATTTGCCTTCCTTCCGATGGCTCTTACTTATAGGACTTTGTAGTTTATCTTTCTTGAATAAATTGTTCTTGTTCTGATCTGTTCCCTTTGGGTTGAATGCACTTATTGTCAGTCACTTTGGATAAAAGCCTGAGGTAGGTGGAACCTATAAATGTGATGTTGAACACTCTTGGCTTGGCTCTGCTCTTCAAGCTCACATGATCGGCGGAGAAATTGAGCAAGGTAGCGAACATTGACTTGGATATTTTATTTAAGTTATTGATAACCACTAGTGTCGTGTTTTTAAATGTACACAAGGCATTAGAACAAACTCTTTACTCGGGTAGCCCTGCCCTGACACCACCCGTGTCCTAAGTAATTAATTATTAACATCCATACGCAGTATGAATATCAATGTACCAACATATATTTATATTTTTATATATATAAATATATTTATAAGAGGGGAACAGAATCTGAACAAGAATCAAGAAAGAATTTCTTTGTTATTGAGAATTTCAATAACAATCTAGGATCGTCAGTGCCTTGGCAGTGGCAAATGGCTTTGGGTTTATATCTGAATTAATTAATGCTGTGACAAGATAATATCATTTTAACTGCTCCACAGTAAAGAGAAGATTAATGTCGTGGCACAGTGTGTTATAGTGTTGTTGGTGTTATAGTGCATATATATATATATATATATATATATGTGTGTGCGCGCGCTGTGCACTACTTTAGAATTAATTATTAGATTTTGTGATTGCAAAAAAATTGTTGCCCAGCACTAATATACATATACAGTATATATGTATATACATATATGAGTCTATGTGTGTCTTAGGCAAGACAGAAATTCTCTACCACCTTCTCTGTCGCTGCGTGTTGCCAGCGGCAACCGGTGGTCTGGAGGTGGACGTTGTCTTTGTGGACACCGACTACAGTCTGGACATGTTGCGACTGGTCAGCATCCTGGAAAGCCGACTGAATGCCGGTACACACACACACACACACACGCACACGCACACGCACACACAAGCTCAGGACGAGTGTTACCTGCCGTACTGGGAAGGTTGTGCAGCGTCTATTCGGAATGTGGCTGTAAACACCAGTGGTTCTCAACTGGTCTGGCTGCTGACGCGCCATCACACCTACTGACAAGCCGCGAGCCAAGTCAAAATCATTTAATGAAAAGATGGTGCAACTTGAACCTGCATATGTAATAGTAATAATATAGAATATCACAGTATGCTAACACAAAAACATTTCAATTCTAAGCCAAAACGAGGATGCTAGAGAGGGAAATATTCTCTTCTTCATTCAATTCAGTTTTATGTACTGACTTGAGAAGGCTTCATGAGGTCATCTCAATGTACAGTGAGTTCCGCTGGTTAATCTTCAGAACCGGAGCTGAGGCGCCTCCCTCAGGGCCTCATGTACTCACGCTTTTGCGCCCATTTCAGGCGTATTTGTTTCTCAATGTGCGCGTAAAAGTATGGCGAGGTAAAAACATGCCGCACTGAGGTGAAAGCGCCGACTGACTGTTGTGTGGAAAACTGCAAATGGCAAATTGCGCTTTTCTGTGTCATGGGTATGCATTCACAGGGGGGTTAGGGGGAAAGTGGGAGTTTCCAATGGGAGATGGGAGGGGATGCGTAATGTGCGCCAAATTATCCTGCACACTGTACGGAAACCGCCCATGAAAGTGTGCCTTCAAAACTAAAAGCTATATGACAATTATTGGATCAGGGTCACTTCAAACAGTCATACCTTCAGCAGTAGGAATATCGCAGCACAAGCACACAACGCTTTGCTACAGCTCACTAGTCAATACACACATTTCCCCACCGCTGATGCCCAAATAGCACATCAACTTGTCACTGAATTGGAGTTTTTTGCTGTTTTGACTTTGACTGATCCATGATAGAAAGAGAGAAGGACGTCCGTTCAAGCGTTTAAATGCTCGCAATGTGCAGGATAGTGGACGGAGAAAGGCGCTGCCGATGAGCTGCGGGTTCCGTAAGTATAAGTATCACAGCGAGCGCTTTCTGCGGGTTGGCCGTGAAGCTGATAACTTCACGTTTGCAGATGTACGTACACGAGGGCCTCAGAGATGTGGTGATGTGGTGCTGCTCTCGCTCATCTCGCTGCTGCATCACAGCTTGCCTCTGTCAATACATTTATTTTAACATAAGGATCCATTAAAAGATCTTTTAAAAAGAATTTGAATGTATGAATAATCAATACAATATAAGTTAATAAACTGAATTTTATATTCAGAAGGCTGTTCAATTACATGACTACAAGTTTGACCCAACCTGACTCACGTCAACTCAGGAATCAGGAAACATTTATTGCCAAAATATGTCAAACATGCGGAATTTGTCTGGCGGTCGGTGCGTGACAGTCGACAGTGTAACAATAGACAGCAGTGCACAAGTAATAAAATAAAATGAAATGCCAGTGCAATGGGTTAGTATAAAACAAGAGAAGTTAGAAATTAAAAATATTTAAAAATTTAATAAATATTAAACATAAAGTGCACTATCGAACAAGTGACAAACTGTCAAGTCCTTAAAAAAAAGCAACTTTGTAGTGACTTGCGACCCAGTGAAACGGTTGTGACTCGCCAGTTCAGAACCACTGCTCTAGAAGACGCTGACCTTCGTCACTAGTAAGTCAATGAGATTATAAAAATGTGTCTCTCTCTCTCTGTCTGTCAGCTTGTTCTTCCTCTTCAGCCGATTCAGATGAGGCGGCGTTACGTTTGTGTCTGTCTCGCCTCCTGGTGGTCCATTGCTCCTCCTCCTCACAGCTCGTCCTGACCCTTCACTTCCTGGAGACTTCCCTGTCGTCGCGCCCTGGACTTGCACTTCTCCTTATTGACAGCATCTCCGCTTTCTATTGGCTGGACCGCTGCGAGGGCGGTGCCAGCGCCATCAGGCAAGAAGAGAAACTCAGAAAGTGTGCAGAGCTGCTGGGTCGGCTGCTAAGGTAGCTATTCGTCAACCAGATGGTTGTAGTTATCATTAGCGGTCCACAAGCTGGTACTAGACTCCTTTAGATGATTTAGTGGTCCATCATGGGGTTCTAGAGCTCCCTTAGGTGGAAGTAGTGGTCTTAAAGGTGCTTGCTGTTGTCCTTTAGGTGGTCCTAGTGGTCTATTAGATGTTGCTTTTGGTCTATTGGGTGGTACTAGTGGTCCGTTAGTGGTTGTAGAGCTCCTTTAGGTGGTAGTGGTGATCCTAGAGCCTGCTGGGATCTATTAGGTGGTAGTTGCGTTCCATCAGGTGGTATTAGTTTCCTTTTTATGTTGTTCCAATTGTTTATTAGGTCACAGAGGAGGTCCTTCAGTGGGTACTAGTGGTCCATTCTAAGGGCTCTTTATGTGGATGGACGCTACTTTTGGTCCATTGGGGAGTTTAAGTGGTCATTGAGGCAGCCTATCGCATCCCATAGGTAGTTCTAGTGGCAGTGAGTCCCGAAGATGGTTTGTATTGGTGACTGAGGAGGTATCTTAGGTGGGTTGTTTTCTATCCACATCTTGCAAGCATCAAATGAGTAAATTTTGTTCAACTGTACCGTAGATTTCCTAACACCTCGAGTAGCACATAGCATGCTGGGTTGACTGTAGAAACCTCCTACATAATTGAATGAATCATTCTATTCTGTTGCTCTGTCTCTTAGTGATTACAGAATCACGGTCTTCACCACATGCCACGCTATCAAGAAGGTCTACAATGGACCCTCCTCCTGCTCCGTCTACGACCGGCCGTACCTTTGTCGCCCTTGGCAACGGTTGGTGACTCACCGGCTGCTCTGCTCGCGGCAGGAGACTGCAAACAACATGGCTGCCACAGCAGTAGGCAGCGAGGAGCAAAGTAGACGGCAAGTCTTCACCGTCCACTGCACCTCCTCCTGCTCCAGGACGAAAGCTTACAGGAGCAGCTCCTTCTGCGTAACGGATGGAGGAGTGAAATTCATCTGAACAGCGACTGACTGAGCTGCTGCTTCCAGGACGTTAAACATCATGTCCATAATACTGTTGGGTTGGGTTGGTTTGTTCTTTTTATGTACTTTCCATTAAAGCACTGAACCATATGTTCGGTTTGTCAGGCTTTTTACTGCACTGTAAGAAATACTATTGCTGCTTCTGGCCCGATCAATGGATGAGTAGCGCAGAATCAATTTGACATCCGTTTTATGATTGAAACTCCACTTCAGAAACACGTACTCACCCAGCCGTTTATTGTTCAATTAGGAGTTCTAGTGGTTCTTTAGGTGTTTTTAGTGATCATTGAGACTGTTGAACCAGCTTATGTTCTATTTCAAAATCAAGCAACAGTATGTTGCACCAAAATAGGTTAACAATATAATCATATACCTATTTGATATTATGTTTCAAAATAAAAGAACAATATGACGCTTAAAGAATATCCCTCTGCCTGTTGAATGGGACGGATGTCATATCTTATAATAAAGGAAGGAATGTTATGTTAAAGAATATATTATTGTACCTGTTTATGTTGTTCAATTTTGCTTGTACATGTTTATTGTATTTTAAGTTCACTTATTTTCTTTGTATTATATTTGTCTCCTTTTATTGCACAATCCACCATGACCATTTCCTGTATGTGTAACATACGGGGCGATAAATGGTTTCTGGGGTTGAACCGGAAAGATCTCAAATCTCAAAATATATATATTTTTTAAATGCTAAAATAATATCCTTTTGCCTATTAAATGGGACTGATGCCATATTTCAAGATAAAATAACAATGTGAGGCGCGCGCGGCAGCAGTCCGGCTCCTCGAGGCTCCAGTCCGGGACTTCAGATCTGATGACAGAGACCGCTTCACCAGTGCAGCCCACCAAAAGATCCCTCCGCGGGGTCAGACACTTTTTACACTATACAAACACAGTATCAAGCCCGCAACCGATAAGGAGCCATGGGCACCTATAAACTGTCCCTCCCGGTAAATGTGGCCTCGGTCCCGTAGGGGGATGTGAACTCTGACCGATAGATGGTTCTTCTCTGGTCTTGTAGTGAATGTTTTCTGGGGCCTACTTCTCCTGCCATCGCTGACAGGCGGTGCTTCGGTCGCTCCTAAACATGGCCTCCATGACGGAACGACCGCTTCAACTTTAATTTTTTGTGTATTTTTCAGCTTAAAACCGTGTATTTCCCTCCAACGACCCCGGAATGATTATAAGGAACATCTCATCATGCCAGAGTGGTGAAGCAGATGTGATCTGGCGGAGAAGTTCGCTGTTGGGTTTAAACTGATCGGTTTAAATTGGCTGTAAAGCTGGAGAGGAAAAAAAGAATTGCATCAAATCCGTAAGAAGGCTTCTTCACCTTCCTTTCTACACTTATGCTGACACTCTTCTCTCCTTGGGGCCTTGTCTTCCCGATTCTTCTTCACATTCTACTTCGGACACGAATAACCGCACGGCGCAGCCGGGATGCGCTCGGTTCTGCTGCGCGCTAACAGCTAACTGCTGCTAAAGCTAACGGAGAAGTTACCAGTAAACTGGGCGGTCCAAGGAAGCTAACAGCTAGCGGCTAACGGCTAACTGCTGTGTTCCTCCTATCGTGCTGCATTTATACTTGTACAACATTTAACGCATCATTAACGCGTGAGTGTAAGCTCTGTAGGCAATCGGTTAAATGAGCGTAACACGCTGCTAATTAGTGAGACGCTACTACTGTTGTGACAGATGGTTTTATTAGCAGAGTCACTTCATGCTGTTTTATTCTGTGTGCAAACTAACGACAATAATGAACTGTTAGTGTTGTGATGTGCTGACCTGGTACAAGTTGTAGTATACTTTGTTATACTACTACGTACTTTACTAGTACTAATACCACACTGAAGAAATACGGTGTTATAGTACCATGACTGTTATGGTACAAGTACTAATAGCATACTATCTGGAAAGACGGATTGTATTGTTTTCAGTGGCAGAAATACATTCAAAATATGTGCAATATAATATGTCTACAATTGTAATTGAATCCATGGAGATGCCTCAAATGTCATCTACAAAAGTCCTGGAAATTAGTGTTGATGAGAGTTTAAATTGGAATAAACATTGATTGTTTCGGTAGATACATTTACAAATCTACTGGAATAACAAGAAAAAACCTTATGCCTATCGTTCATATTGTAATGTAGTTTGGGCAAGTACTTTTCCAACTTTAGAAATGTTTCTTAGGCTTTCAACCAATTCGGAGTCAGATATCTCATCTCTTATTCCAGAAATTGCAGGTTCACACTATTTATGACATCAATACTTCTCAAATTTAGATTTTTTCAGGTTAATTTTTCTGATCACTCCAGGGACTACTTCCAAACTAATTCACTCGTATCCAACTCACCAATCTTCTCCATCAGATCTCCATCATCCAAAAGCGCCCATGAGCAGAGGGAGGTCAATTGTCCGTTGTTGAATAAAATAACTTTTAACTGCTGTAATGTATTTCTTGTTTTAGTTCTCTTTTTTTACCATACACTCCAACATATCAACACTGTTGAACTTTTATTTTTCATTATTTTTCAAAGTATTGCTATTGTTACTCTGATGTAGGAATGGAAATATCTTCCAGTGCACATCAAAATATCAGCTGTAGAAGTTACTCAAAATAATAATTTTTGTGTCTTATTAATCTGAACGATGCTCGCGTCACTAAGCTCCAGGTCACATCACGTGTGTGGTGTGTTCCCTGGGAACTCCAGGAAAAGGAACGACTCGTGATTCTGAATCCGTCACCTTCTATTCTGTCCTTTCTACCCAGAATGCCATCTGAGGCTCAGGAGCCTCGGGACAGCGGACCGACCCCTCCTGTCACTCGGGCTGGACGCAGCGCTCAGCTGGCCAAAGCTGCCGCTACAAGCCCAGCCCCCGAGAGGCGGTCTCGTGGGCGACCTCGGAAAGATGGGAGCGGCGGCCGCTCTGTGCCCCCTACACCTCCCCCTCCCCCTCCACCTTCACCTCCTCCTCCTCCTCCCTCCAAATCAAGGAAGAAGTAAATATGTTTTTCTGTGAGCCTCTTTGGAGCTGAAACAATGAGCTGGTCTTATGGTTGCCATGGATACCAGCAGTATAGAGTTAGTCTAGAGTGATTTTATTAGAACAATATCATATCAGTAAGCACTCTGACATGTAGATGTTTTTAAATGTGCATCCTGTCTCTAGCTAATAGTTCATCCAATTAAGAACTACAGCTAGTTTGCTTATGTATTTGTTTGAGTTTAACATAATATTGCTGCACAGTGCTGTACCTCCCGCACGTTATTATTTTCGTCTATTTGTAGAAAATAGAAAAGAAATATTGTGATTCAATCCCGAAATCAAAAGGTCAAGCTTCCCTAGGAGAAAAGATTTTACAATGTAAAGTTAAATGCATTAATCGGGTGTTTTAGAGATAAATCAAGATGGATTCTGTGCTCCTATGACAATCTTAATGTTATAAGGTCACTTTAAGCTTTGAAGTATTTCTATTTGCTCTATGTTAGACTCCTAATTCACTACATCTCGATGAATTAATCACTTTTAACTCCACTACTTTTGTTTTTACAGTTGTATATGTCCAAATTATAAAAATTTTAAATGAGCTATAACAATGCAGTAATGTAATCAGAAGCTTCGTTTCTGTGTAGGGGGCGGAGTCGAGGCCAAGCCCAGGTAGTGGATGAAGAGAGCATGGACGCTAAGGAGAAGAAGACCCCCCAGAAGACGGGTATTTGTTCCAGCTCTGATCTTTTTACCTTGGTCTTTTACCAATTACATGCACAACTGATTCCACATAGCTGCACTCCTCTGGACTGCACATGAGCTGATGTGCAAACATTTACACATGTTTCACATCTGCTGTCATTATACGTCTCGGGGGAAACTATGTCACTTTAACACAAACCTATAAGGGACAGAAACCAGGCTCCCATTGTGGACAGCTAAGACACCAACATCTGTGAAACAAACGGGCAGTGTGATGGTTTTACTGTTCAGACTCCTTGTCCTTCAAGCTCGTTGATCTTCAGACTCGTTGATCTTCAGTCTCGTTGATCTACAGTAGGGGTGCCCAATACCGGTCGATCGCCAGGGCAGTGCCAGTAGATCGCCTGCCATTGGAAACAAAATCACGTTGCGCATTCACGGTCTAACGGGGTCGGGGGGCTTCGGTCGGTTGAAAAGTAGCTCGCGGGCGAAAAAAGTGTAGGCACCCCTGATATAAAGTGTCGTTGATCTTCAGACTCGTTGATCATCATACTCCTTGATCCTTTGCCGCGTTGCCCTTTAGTCTCGTTGACCTCCAGACTTTTATCTCTTATCTACGTATGTTGTGATTTGTTTTGTGCCCTCAGAGGTGAACGAGAAGACCATAGGACGACGTCAGTCCACTAACAGGAGAAAATCCAACATGAACCCTGAACCTGAACCCAGCCAGGACAGCTGCAGTCCGGAAATTGATCCTTACCCCCCTTATCCTGAGCCCACTGCCCCAGAGGCTAGTCCAGATCCGGCTCCCAGTGCTCAGGAGGACAGAACCAGTACAGGACCAGCTCACATTGCTGAGGAGGACAGAACTAATCCTGGGGAAGAACCTCCAGTCACTCCCCCGGTCCATAGCCTGGTTGATAGACCCGCCTCCAGCCCCATTCCCGCTTCTGAACCTCTGGAGAAGGACCGGCTGAGCCCGTACCACAACCCTTCCCCCATGGAGGTGGTTGCCATGGACACAGACAGGGCGGGTCACACCGGCCCGAGTCCGTCCTCCAGTCCTCCGGTCTCACCATGTCCCCGTCTGGAGGACGAGGACTCGCTGTCCCCCCTCTTTCAGCTGTCAGAGGACTCTGGGGGCTCGCCAACCCCGAGCCTGGGACACAGCAAAAAAAGGTGTGTGTGTGTGTGTGTGTGTGGATCAAACATCAGGATCTCCAACTACCCTTGTCAGCAGTATTCCAGGTGATCGTTCCAATGAGTTCAGCGTCAACCGAAAGAGCTGTGCTCCTGATCCCGATGTTTCAGCTTGTCAACCTTTTACTCTAGATTGGATTTCATATAAAGACATATCATATCAATATATCAATCGACAAGAGGAAACATTGTGCGTTTTGTCCTCAATTATTCATTATTATTATTATAGTAATGGAGGAATATACCACACGTACAAACATCCAACGCATAGCAGTGGTGTCCACAGAGTGTTGTTCCTGTTTCATTGATCTCCCGCCCTGCAGACTGAAGCAGTGTGCCTTCTGTTATCGTGGCGATGAACCTCCTCTGGGTCAGGGGCGCCTGGTGGTGTTCGGCCCGACGCCCGGCTACATCCCGCTTCACATCCTCAACCGCCGCGCCTCCTCCGACCGAGACAATGACTGTCACGACCATTGCTACCGCGGTGATCACGCCCCGCCCATGTGAGTCACCTGACTTCCTGTTGATCCCCTGTCAACATTGTTGTACATTCCAAATAAGTTTCATGACGGACTGACTGATCTTTATTGTTTGTGTGTGTGTGTGTGTAGGTGCAGCAGCAGTAGTCCAGGACAGTGTGGTGAGTACTCTATTCACACCAATCAGGTCTGAACGCACCAATGTTCATGGTAGCAGTGCTACTTTCCGAGCGGAACCACAAAAGCCATTGAAAGAGCCGACCCTGAGTCGCTGATGGCGTTTTCTAGCAACAGTTATTGTGTATTGTTGTACAGTATTGTTGTGTATGTTAGCTATCATTCTACTGTGGACACACATTCCATTGATCGTTTTGATCGTCCCTCCAGTTCCTGTGATGAACTCCTCCTCTCAAGGGGGATTAGGGTCTTTGCCTGTAGGACCAGTAGAACCATCAGTGCTATTGATCTTGCTGGTGTTCTAAAGTCTGAAAGTTGGTATTGATTGTTTTCGTGCTCCTACAGTCTGATCAGGGTATTGATTATCGGGTCACTGTGTCTGCTTATGTTTCAGAGGGGGAGTCTTCCTTAGAGTTTGTGGAGCAGCTCGGACCCGTCGGTCTTCCACATGACATCGACGTCCAGTCACTGTTTGACCCCACAGGTACAGGAAGTTAACTTCTTTACGTCCTGTGGAGTTTGTACGAAGTGTTGATGTTTTCTGAATTTCATGATTAGTGAGTCAGAGAGTCTGAATCCTCTAAATCGTTTAATATTGGAAATGAACAACGGCGTAATTTAGTTCATTTGATCATTTTATTTTATGTCAGATTCAGATATTGTTCCGGACCATTATTGCTGGCATGCTTTAACGTAACATCCTTTAATTTAAATCTAAATTCTTGTTCTGTGGTGCAACCTGGTACCAACTGGCCCTAACCCTTGGATTAGAGTTACCAATCTATCACGTAACAACCATACCCCTACCATTTAAAAAAGGGGGGCACCCGGCTCGGCTTCAAATTAGGCAATGACATCATTTTGCGGCGCGCACACACAGCCCTCCCGTTGATACCTATTTCACCCCTTATGAGTTTGCAGGTATAGTAAAGAGTGTGTGTGTGTGTGTGTGTGTGTGTGTGTGTGTGTGTGTGTGTGTGTGTGTGTGTGTGTGTGTGTGTGTGTGTGTGTGTGTGTGTGTGTGTGTGTGTGTGTGTGTGTGTGTGTGTGTGTGTAGGTCAGTGCTGTGCTCACCTTCAGTGTGCAGCCTGGTCAGAGGGGGTGTGTCGTGGCGAGGGCCAATCACTGCTCTACGTGGACAAAGCCATTGACTCCGGAAGCACACAGGTCGGTTTGTGTTACACGACAAATAACCACACACGCTGTAAACAGACTAACTAAGCTCCACACACCTGTCTCCAGGTGTGTACGTTCTGCCATCGGCTCGGAGCATCGCTTCATTGCAAGGAGGCAAGCTGTGGGCGGAGCTTCCACTTCCCCTGTGCTGCTGCTGCTGGAGTTCACCACGACTGGAGCCGCAGACACACACTGTGCACATGGCACACACAGTCGGGTAACCACACACACACACACAATGTAAATACGGCACACACACTCAGGTACACACAATGTGAATAAGACACACACACACTCAATAATAATAATACATTTAATTTATATAGCGCTTTTCCAAATGCTCAGTCACTTTACATAAAACATTTTCGTCGTGGCGCAGGGGTAAGAGAAGGTGTGCTGGGAAGCACAAGGTTGGTGGTTCGATTCCAGGCTGCTCCATGTCGAAGTGTCCCTGAGCAAGACACCTAACCCCTAATTGCTCCCCAGGCAAAAATGTGAAAAAAGCCATGGGTTTAAAGTATAATGTAAGTCGCTTTGGATAAAAGCGTCTGCTAAATGACATGTAATGTAATTTTAAAATATCCTAAAAGCTAAGCTGTAAATAAATAAAACCAAGCAAATAGCGAACACAGTCCTGGATTAAAAGCAGTTTTGAAGAGGTGGGAATATGATACACACAATACGAATATGACACACAAACTCCGAAACACACAATGCGAATACGATACACACAGACACTGAATATGGCACACACTCAGGTACACACAATGTTAATACGACGCACACACTCTGGTACACACTAAGACTGGGCGGTATGGCACAGAGTCCATATTTAGAAAGATTCTGACTGTATATCACAGTATTGATTTTTCAAGTAAACCCATTAATTCATTGACCCTGAAAAGTACCGGCAGCTACTCTAACGGCTGTCCGCCGCTTGCTGGCCAACTTGCTCGTAACTGGCCGGCGAGTTAGCTTGTTAGCTCGTTAGTGTGTTAGCTTATTGTGGCTGCTAGTGTTGCCACCAGCTCGACACACTTTGCAATGAGTCGCTTTCTGATCTAACGTAACTTACGTCGGATTTTCCCAAACCCCCCAAACAGACACAGCTCCCCTCTGGGGCACAAGTTGTGTGTCGTTTCCGTGTTTTCATGTAGCAAAGTTACTTCTTGTTGTGAGCTGTACCCAGCATGCAGTTATTTTTATAAATGTACAACTATTATTACAAAAGGTTTATGTGTCACACACGCTGTTGTGTGGTGGTGTTTTAGCCTGTTAAAGAGTGTTTGTTATGGGTTATTCATTGTAGGTATAAAGCTATAACTATGACTCAATCTCACTAACACACGTAAGTAGCTCCGGACGCTGGGCGCTCCTCCATGACGTGTAAAATAAATTCTGCTGCCTGCCGAAGAGCAACGTAAGTTGTTTCGCCGTAACGGCGGTATGAACAGTACATGAGAAATTCGTACCGCAAGCAGATCTTATACCGTTTGAACCGGTACACCGCCCAGCCCTAGTATACACACTCACTGTATACCAGACACAAACTCACGAACACACACACAAATAAATTCATATTTAATTAATACATTTTTTAGCAGATAATGAATGAGGAAGTGAGGATGTAATCTTCCTCACTTAAACACGTGAACACAGTCACCTTTTCTGTGGTGCAGTTTATAAATACAGTATTTGTATTTACACAACCGTAAACGTGCCTTTATTCATGTATTAGTGTTTTACTGTTGTGAATTGTGTCCAGTGTCCTCACAGTGCGCGTTGTGTTCAAGTGGCGGTGACATCAGCGCTATGTTGATGTGTTGTTGCTGTGGGAACTGTTACCATGGCAGCTGCCTGGACCCGCCTCTGGCTCCCTCCCCCCTGTGCCGGGTCGGCTGGCAGTGTCCTCAGTGCAGGGTGTGTCAGAGCTGCAGGTAACGCACGGACACATGCAGTGGCTTTGCTGTGTTGAAGTTAATTTGTACCAAACGGTCTGTGAAAGAACTGGAAGATAAAACTAGCGGAGACTTTATTCACTTTTGTGCTCACAAAACAGAAAACAGTGAAAAAAAACTAGTGTCTAGTCTGAAGTGCGATGACTGTGTGTGTGTTAGGGTGCGAGGTGATGATGGTGTGCTGATGGTGTGTGAGCGCTGTGATAAATCCTACCACGCACACTGTCTCACTCCTCCTCCGGATTATACACAGAGCCCCGGATGGAGATGCAAGGTGAGACAAACACATACCTGAATACAAAGATATTTTACATATGAGTGTGTGTGTTGTTTTTTAAAAACCTTTCTCTTCTTTAGAACTGCAGAATCTGCCGCCGCTGTGGTGTGAGGTCATCGGGTCAGTGGGCTAATCACCCATTTCTCTGCGAGTCATGTGACTTGGCCCAGCCATGCACACTTTGTGACCACGCCCCTGACCTCTACAGACCACAGGAGTATCTGACCTGTTCCTGCTGCTATAGGTAGAAACTCCAACACAGAGTTGCCACTTCACAGTAAAAGTCAGAAGCCTTTGTAGCTTTGAAGCAATAAAACCCTAGGCCCTAACTCAGATGTCATCTCATGACTTTTGAAAATTAAGGTTGATGAACAATGAATTTCAGCGGTCTAGAAGTAATGTATGCATGGACTAATGTTTCTGCATTGTTTTGAGACTGGAATTGCCTGATTGAGGATGCTGAAAATGCATCAACCTTAGTTTAAATTTGATCCTTTGTTGTGGAAGATTTTGCACAGACAATCGGTAAATAAGAATAAGGCTCTGAGTCAAATATGTCTTTCTCCGTTTATTTCCTTGCGAGGGGAAAAAAGGTCACAACAGCTACGTGCTCAGTAGACTGCCAAGAACCTTCCTCCTCCCATAACCGGGGCAGGCAGTTCTTATACCCACAGGTGGCCTCCAAACCAACTTGTTGTGTGTCTACAGCCAGGAGACTGGCATCTTATCAGTGTGAGACACTCCAGCTCAATTCTTTATCATGGCCACACATCCCAGCATTTGCAATTTATAACCTTGTTCATGCAATAATACATTTTGAAGGGTTACATACATTTTCCCATTACACCTTCAAGTTACTAATTCTGTGTTCCCCCTACCATTACATCAGGGGGGGTGAAATGACCTCCCTCTGCACTTGAAAAAGTCAGGAAATAAAAAAAGTCTCCCACGCACGTGCGCGAATATGTCTGTGTGTGTGCGTGGCGGACGGACCACAACTACCCCATTCTCCACCTCCCGTCAACCGAACCGTTTGCCCGCCGACTAGTTGGGGTAGTAGTAGAACTAGGAAACACTAGCAACACTGCAAATACACTAAAAGCACAAAAGTATTCTGCCTGCTGCCTTAGAAATTCTACAAGATAACTTGGGCCTGCTGCAGCACACAATAAAGGTCATGTGGATGTTTTGGGAATGATTTAAGGTTTAGCAAAGAAACACATTGATTTGTTTGTGTTGTATTTCCAGGTGTGTCCATACGGAGTGTCTTGTCCGGGCTGGCCAGGGCAGCTCGCGGTCTGAAGATTTCGTCTGCTCTGCCTGCAGTGCTCAAGAAGAGGCACCAAAGCCATACACTCCTACCCCGGCCCCGCCTCTCAGTACTTTGGAAGCATCCTCCATTAATCCTACCCAGCCTCCAAGTCACACAGAGGCTCTACCCATCAGAGTCACCGATGAAGTCCCTGTTCAATTTATGAGCTCTGAGCCACCAAGGAGTCCTACACAAATTCTTGATCCACAATCACAGCTTTGTTCTACAGCCTCCGCCACTGAAACCCCAGAGCTCAAACATAGTCCTACACTATCGAACCAAGAACCCTCGGAGCTTCAGTATAGTACTGCACCAGCCAATGAAGAACCCTCAGAGCTTCAACATAATTCCGCATTATCCATCCCTGCACCCACAGAGCTCGAACAGAGTTCTACACCATCCCAACCAAGAAACCACTGAGCTCCAACATAATTCTGCATCATCCAGCCCCGAACCCACAAATATCCAACATAATTCCGCACGATCCCACCAAGAACCTACAGAGCTCCAACATAGTCCTGCATCATCCAAACCTGAACCCTCAGAGCTCCAACGTAATTCTGCACCATCCCAGCAAGAACCCACAGAGCTCCAACATAGTCCTGCACCATCCAACCAAGAACCATTAGAGCTTCACTATAGTCCTACACCATCCAACCAAGAACCTGCAGAGCCCCAACATAGTCCTACACCATCCAACCAAGAACCCACAAAACTCCAACTTAGTCCTACACCATCTAACCAAGAACCTGCAGAGTTTCAACATGGTCCTGCACCATCCAACCAAAAGCACGCAGAGCTCCAATGTAGTCTTGCACCATCCCACCAAGAACATACGGAGGTCCAACTTAGTCCTTCACCATCTCACCCTGAACATAAAGAGCTCCAACAGAGTCCTGGACCATCCTGCTCTGAAACCACAGGGCTCCAGCACAGTAATGCACCATCTCCCTCTGAAATCCACCAAGCTCCAACAGAGTCCTGCACCATCCGGGCATGAACCTACAGAGTTCCAGCACAGTAATGCACCATCTCCCTCTGAACCCACAGACGTACTACAAAGTCATGCACCATCTCCCTCTGAACCCACAGAGCTCCAACAGAGTCGTGCACCATCTCCCTCTGAACCCACGGAGCTCCAACAGAGTCGAGAACCATCTCCCTCTGAACCCACGGAGCTCCAACAGAGTCGAGAACCATCTCCCTCTGAACCCACGGAGCTCCAACAGAGTCGAGAACCATCTCCCTCTGAACCCACGGAGCTCCAACAGAGTCGTGAACCATCTCCCTCTGAACCCACGGAGCTCCAACAGAGTCCTGCACCATCTCCCTCTGAACCCACGGAGCTCCAACGGAGTCGTGCACCATCTCCCTCTGAACCCACAGAGCTCCTACAGAGTCGAGAACCATCTCCCTCTGAACCCACAGAGCTCCTACAGAGTCGAGAACCATCTCCCTCTGAACCCACAGAGCTCCTACAGAGTCGAGAACCATCTCCCTCTGAACCCACAGAGCTCCTACAGAGTCGAGAACCATCTCCCTCTGAACCCACAGAGCTCCTACAGAGCCGAGAACCATCTCCCTCTGAACCCACAGAGCTCCTACAGAGCCGAGAACCATCTCCCTCTGAACCCACAGAGCTCCAACAGAGTCCTGCACCATCTCCCTCTGAACCCACAGAGCTCCAACAGAGTCCGGCACCATCCTCCTCTGCACCATTCAACAAAGACCCCGCAGAGCTCCAACAGAGTCCTGCGGCACCTCCCTCTGAACCCACAGAGCTCCAACAGAGTCCTGCACCACCTCCCTCTGAACCCACAGAGCTCCAACAGAGTCCTGCGGCACCTCCCTCTGAACCCACAGAGCTCCAACAGAGTCCTGCGGCACCTCCCTCTGAACCCACAGAGCTCCAACAGAGTCCTGCGGCACCTCCCTCTGAACCCACAGAGCTCCAACAGAGTCCTGCACCACCTCCGTCTGAACCCACAGAGCTCCAACAGAGTCCTGCACCACCTCCCTCTGAACCCACAGAGCTCCAACAGAGTCCTGCCCCATCCTCCTCTGCACCATCCAACAAAGACCCCACAGAGCTCCAACAGTGTCTTGCACCTTCTCCCTCTGAACCCACAGAGCTCCTGCAGAGTCCTGCAGCATCTCCCCCTGAACCCACAGAGCTCCCGCAGAGTCCTGCACCATCTCCCCCTGAACCCACAGAGCTCCTGCAGAGTCCTACCCCATCCCCCTCTGCACCATCCAACCAAGAACCCACAGAGATCCAACAGAGTCCTGCACCATCTCCCTCTGAACCCACAGAGCTCCTGCAGAGTCCTACCCCATCCCCCTCTGCACCATCCAACCAAGAACCCACAGAGATCCAACAGAGTCCTGCAACATCTCCCTCTGAACCCACAGAGCTCCTGCAGAGTCCTGCACCATCTCCCCCCGAACCCACAGAGCTCCTGCAGAGTCCTACCCCATCCCCCTCTGCACCATCCAACCAAGAACCCACAGAGATCCAACAGAGTCCTGCACCATCTCCCTTTGAACCCACAGATCTTGAACAAATTAGTATACCCTTTCACTCTAATCGACAAGAGCTTCAGCAAAGTCTACTGCCCTCTTCTCCTTATCTGACAGCGCTACACGGAAGTCCTCCACATTCCCACTTCAAACCTGCAAAGATGCAGAAAAGAACTACCCAGAATTCTATAGAGGATCCGCTTTTTGCAACAGACTCTCCATGTCCAATGACAGTTAGTCCCATATCTTCTAGCCTCGCACATTCTCCGCACAACCCTCCATGCCAGGTAGAACTTTGTCGGCAAGGGCTGGCAGAACCTGTTCAAAGCCCACCATCACACAGGTCTGTGCACGGCGACTCTACACAGATCTGCTCAAAGTCTACTCTGCCAGTAAGAAGAAACCCATCACTGAGGCCTATTTCAGCTCCATGTAGCCCTTTTCCGTCTCCACTCAGAGTCACCATGTGTAGTGCGTCACTGCCCACCAGCCCAGTACAGGTCAACTCTTTTAAGCCTTTCCATCTTAGCCTTCTACCTGCTCAGCCTGCTACACAGTCAAGAGTCACAAAAGAATGCACCCAAACCAGTACCGCAGAACTTAAGTCTTTGGAGCTGAGTCCTAACCTTGATTGCCTAACACTGGAAAGTAGCCCAACCTCTGACTTATCCATAATGCCCCTAGTTGTCCACGGTACAGATATTGAACTCGCAAACCAGCTTGCTTGTCTTCAAAGTAGCATACATAGCTCGGACCATTCTAGCCCTCATCTTCGTTCTACCATGCCCTCATCAGGGAGCCTAGTTCACATCAGCAGTTCAATGGAACACAATTGCCTAACTTTACCACCTTGTGCTCATGACAGCCCACCATGCTGCACAGAAGCTATTGAAGATAAAGCCATCACAATGCAAAGTAGCATAGCTAGTGCTAGCCACAAACATATTAGTCAAACAAGCCCTGTCTGCTCTAATCAGACCTCTCATAGTCCCATGAGATGGAAGACTACAGAGACTATACCCTCAACACAACCAGCTAGTCCTGGAACGCTTAATGCTTGCTACTCCACTCAAACAATGGACCCCTTGGCGCCACCTCTTAGGTCCTCAACACAACTAGCTAGCCCCTCAGCAGTACTAGCCATCCTCCCCATTTCATGTCAAGACAAGAATATGGTAGATGTCGACCATAACAAGCATTTCTTTCAGTCAGAAACTAGTCCTGTCCATACTAACTCTTTTTATACTAGCCCTGCTCGTGTTTGCCCAGTCAGCGCAGAAGCCAACAGTTTAATGGACCCCAGACATTTTCAAGAGAGAACTGATCCCTTGAATGTCCAAACTATCTGCAGTCCTTCTTCTCAAACTCTGGCCCGGTCCAAAAGTTGGACTCCCTCATTAGCTAGCCTGACGTCCAGCAGCCCAGCACATGCTACTGTATCATTTGTTGGCCCGCCTCAGAGTCCAGCTCAGGCAAGCGAAACCTATCACAGCCCCACAAGTAGCCAGCATCACAGCCAAGCTCCTGACATTGAAACGCGTTCCAGCCTGACTGTGTCACATCTGAGCCCGTCTTTGACTAGTGTTGCTGTGGACATGGTGGCCAGTTCCACAAAACAAAGCTTTGTTCCTCCCAGAATGGTTCAGTTAGATTTTGGTCTTGTTGAACCCACAGACCGTATTAGGCAGACAAGCCATACAACTGCTACTTCTGTACCTGCTGACTCATCTGCTGTTCGCCTCAACCAGGCAAGTCTGAGCCAAGTAAGCCAGTCCCCAGCGAGTCCTTGCCACGATAATCCAACGGGAAGCCCCTTGTATCAAAGACTGGCCACCACTGTTGGTGATCCTTCCGCTCTCCCTAGTCTAAGCTGTGTGAGCCTTGTCCATTCAAGTCCCACTCAAGATTACACTGCGATGCCTAGCTCCAGCCACATCAGTAAACTCCCCCCACCATCTTCCCCTTCACAAGTTAGCCCTCATAAGACATTATATCCACATGCTCAGGCTCTTTCTGAGCACAGTAGACCAGCTGCTAGGCTTGTTTGTGGCCCTGTGCAATCAAGTGATGCACAGGTTGACCGTGCCAGCCTTGTGCAGCCAGAGGCTATTCCCAGTCCTGTACCAGGTTGTCCTAGTAGGTGTGAGGCTAGCCCCCATTTAGTTAGTCCTGTTCTTTCTACCCACGAGCAATCTGATACCAGCCCTAGTTCTGGTCTTGCTACCCATGTGTTGTCTGAAACAATCCCTTGGCCTGGTCTTACTGGGCATGAGCAATCTGTAACCAGCCCTAGTCCTTGTCTAGCTACCGATGAGTCTGAAACCAGCCCGACTCCTGGTCTTACTATCCTGGAGCGGAATAAAACCAGTCCTGGTCTTACTGGGCCAGAGCAGTCTGAAACTAGTCCTTGTCTTACTAGGTTTAAGGAGCCTGAACCTTGCTCTAGTTCTGGTCTTACTGGGCCTGAGGTGTCCCAAACCAGCCCTATTCCTGGTCTTAATTGCGCTGAACAGTCTGAAACAAGACCTACTCCTTGTCTTACTAGGCCTGAGCAGTCTAAAACCAGTCCTGATCTTACTTGGTCTAAGCATTCTGAAACCAGTACTAGTCCTGGTCATACCGGGCCCGACGGGTCTGAACCTAGTCTCGACGGGTCTGAACCTAGTCTCACTGAGTGTGAGCAGTCTGAAACGAGCCCTAGCCCTGAACAGCCTGATGCTGATCCTCTTCCCAAAGGCCTCTCTGTTTCCCGGCCAGAGCACCACAAAATAGAGAAGGAGTCTTCAGTTTCTAGAGGTGAGTATCAGTCATTGACAGTACAAATATGATGAAGACGTTAAAAAGTGTGTTTTTAGAGATAAAACTATTAAAGCAGACATCAGATGCTTTTAGAACTAATTAGTATATTTATACAGTGTAACTTTCTCCTCTTTCTCTAGACGTCATGATTGTGGAGGAACAGCTGGAGAAGGAGGAGGAAATGCTGAGGAAAGCTCTCAGGCAGGATAAGCCTCACCACACCATGAAGGAGAGTTTAGAAGATGGCGGAGAATCAGACCAGGAGGAAGATCAGCATAGCATCTCGGACTGTCCTCCCTCAAGTAGGAAGTAGCTGCACTCGTGTCAAGCAGATAACTTTTTAAATGGCTTTTTCCTGGGGTTAGGGGTTTCCATGATCTTTTCCATCAAAACTTAAAATACTGTTATTTTTATTGCACAGATATATCCACAATAATAATACAATAATAATATAATGTCCACATTTTTTTAATTATTTAATCAATATGTTTATTATGCAGATATCAGGAGAATATAAATGTATTTTAGTCCATTAACTTTGTAATCATCAAAACATAACCTTGTCTTCTTGTTTGCAGAGAACTGATAATGTTGACGTATCTGGATGAGCTGATCTTTGTTTCTCCTCTCTGCAGTAGTCCAACTGGGCTCTGTCCTGAATGAAGAGCCTCAGTGCGCTCCTCTCACAGCCTCCCTCCTCGTTCCTCAGCCAGCTGCACACATTACTCCACACACCACAACACACTCTGCCGTACCGGTCCAACAGCCTTCCTCGTCCCCTGCATCGTCACGTCCTGCTTCACCCTTCCCCTCACCCCAATCTCCTCCTCCTAGAGCTGGCTCTCCAGAGGCCCCTCTTCACAAGATTGCCTTACTCCCTACCTGCTCCCCCCCTACGCTGCCTTCTCCATCGCTTCCTCTAGAAGAGGAACCTACCTATCAAAGTAATGCTCTGACGGGGGAGATGGGGCTTGAGGACAAACAGGTTCTCTGTCATGTGACATCAGCGAATAATGACGGCCAATTGCAGAGTCGGATCCAACTCGCCAAAGACAAGCACCAATCGCATGCTGAGCCTTTAGAGGGGGAGGAGGAGCTAATACCTACAGACGTGGTGGAGAGGGAGGGAGGCCAGCTGGAGGACCAATCTGATGTCGAGCCTGTTAGCCCTGTCCTGGAACTTGACCTGGACAATGATGTGATGGCTCCCTTCTCCCGTCGGGGGATGGATCGTAACCTCAGGCCTCCTCCCTGCTCCTCCAGGCCTTCAGACGACCTCTCCATCCGTCTTAGGCAGTCTCCCTTCTCCACCGAGGCCTCCCCCGAGACCTCTCCTTCCAGATTACCAGTAACCCCACCCCCTTCCTCCCCCCCCTCAATTCCTCTATGGTATCCCCCCCCTGCCAGGGAGTCTTCACCCCTTTCTAAGGTAAATGTAATGAGAGACAACTGGTGTTCTACCCTGATTTTCTCCTGTAGTGACTGACTATCCTCCTCCTGCTATCTGTTTCTCCCCAGACGCCTCCAATCACCGTGCTCCCCCTCACACCTAAAATTGGAATGGGTAAACCAGCCATAACCAAGAGGAAGTTCTCCCCTGGGAAGGCCACGACTAGACAGGTTAGTGACCATTAACCTCTGTGTGATAATCGATTTATTTACTCTTCCTCATTAATTAGTTGTCGTAAAGTTAACGTGTTAATCTATGCAATTATTCATGCAGTTAACGCAGCTTTGTTTACTTCCGGTGTGTGTTGACCCCTTAAGCCGTTGCACTTAAATTGTATTTATAATGGCTCTCATCTACAGCAAGTTGTAAATTGGCTTATTTGAGGAAATTGCACTTTCTTGTTTCTTGTTCTTCTGAGTTTGTACCCTATGGTTGAAATGCACTTATTGTAAGTCGCTTTGGATAAAAGCGTCAGCTAAATGACATGTAATGTAATGCATGCTGCAGTCAGTTAGATGGGGGAGACGGTAGTTGAAGCTGCAGGGACCTCTTTGCATTGGAAGTAAAACAAACAGAAGAACTCTGCAGAGGAATTCCTCCACGTGTCAAACGGAAGGTGGTGATTGTGCCCGGAACATGTTGGTAGCTGCTCGACTACTTCCATCTCAACATCCACCATGCAGAGGACCACCGCTGTGTCCCTAAAAGACAGTGGAGATGGTTGTGGATTTCAGGAAGAACTGAGTCCCACCTTCCCCCATCACCCCGTGTGACTCCCCGTCACCGCTGTGGATTCTAGGGCTGTCAAAATTTCTCAAACATGACGTTCGAATATTCCCTTTAAGAAAACACATATAGTCGAACATATTTGAATTTCTAGTTGCGCATTAGGCACGTCAATAAGAGACAAATTAATACGAGACATAACTACTTGTATAGGTCATTTATTTAAGTTCAAACATATTACCTACACAAAACTAAGTAAACTAATGGCCAAGACTGCAGACCATGGCGCCCCTCTCTCTCTCTCTCTCTCTCTCTCTCTCTCTCACATAGACCGTTTAAATGAAAAACAACAATAAAGGAATCCTGAGTGCTGATCGAGAGTTTTGTGCAAGCCATTTAAGGTTGTCCTTTTTGTCCCAAATATGGCAGGCTTCATTCAGTGAAACAAATATTATTTACATAAATTTAAGTTTTATAATGCAGAACCGACATTGAACGTTCCGAGCGAGCTGTGCTGAGGTAAACATGAAACTTTTCCTTGGCGTGAAACGGCAAATAATCAAACAGTGCATGAAGCCTTTAATTTAATTCATGCAATATACAGCTGCCCACTCGCAAAGCAGACAGTCGCGCTGCTGCTGCCGCTATTGTTTAAAAATGTTTTTTTTACATTTGAATATTCATTTTCACAATTTTTAAATTCTGTTTTTATCAACTATTCAAATAAATATTTGAATTTAGAATATTCGTTGACAGCCCTAGTGGATTCCTTCAGTTTTCTGGCCTCCATTACCCAGGACCTCAAGTGGGAGCTTGAAGGCCAAGAAGGCTTAGCAGAGGTTGTTCTTCAGCTGAAGAAATTCAACCTGCCAAAGACGATGATGGTCCACTTCTACACGGCCATCATGGAGTCCACCGTCTGGTACGCTGCAGCCACAGCCAAGGACAAGGGCAGGCTGCAGCGTGTCCTCCGCTCCGCAGAGAGGCTGATCGGCTGCAATCTGCCGTCCCTGCAGGACTTGTTCGCTTCCAGGACCCTGAAGCAGCTAAAAAGTTGTGGCCCGGACAAAACCTCTTTGTGCCCCTTCCGTCTGGCAGGAGGCTGAGGTCCATCAGGACCAAGACGTCCTGCTACACAAACTGTTTTTTTCCCCGTTAGCAGTTGGTCTCATGAAGTCAGAGTCCGTCATTGACCCAATAACTTCATCCCGGAATCATTTTGCACAGTGGTTTCTCTCCCTATGAAACATGGTCATACCGACGTGTTTTAACGTAATCGGTTCATATTGTTAATTTGTGTTTTGTATATTTTTTCTTCTTTTATTCTTGCACAAATTCACCGAGACAAATTCCTCTGTGTGTAATATATGTGGCAATACATATGTGGCTTCTGATTCAGATGTTTATTTATATATATATATATATATATAGGCGCGCATCATGTGTTTTAATATTTTGCTTTGTGTTTTCTCCTCTCATTCTTGCGCCTTCATTTTATCCTGCACCCCGTCCGTCCCACACACAAATACACACTCAGGGTTTGTGGTGGAGTAATCGCAGGACAGTCAGCCCCCCCTCGTCATCACAGGATTCCATGGGAGAAGCTGGGTGGGACAATCTCATGCCCCGTCCACCGGACCCCCCCCTCTGGAGCATGAAAGTGGTAAAGAAGCACACTCTTATTGTTAATACTGTGTGTGTGTATTAACTATATATATATATATATATATATATATATATATAGTTAATAACACATAAAGTATCACAGGCATCAAAGTACTTTTACAGTTTCTTGGTTGATTTATGTCCTAACAATCCTGACAACGACATTAAAGTTCAACAAGCATTAAAATGTTCTATAGAGTAACTTTATTATATACAGACCTTCATGATGTCATTGTACTTAACTCCTCCTACTCTCAGGGTCGAGGTTCAGGGTTCCCAGGGAGACGAAGGTCTAGAGGAGGTTTAGGAGGCGCAAGAGGAGCGAGAGGGAGGAGCCGTCTGAAGACTCAGGAGAGTCTGACTGTGTCACCAGGAGTAAGAAAAAACACACACACACACACGCATAAAGACAGACACACATCATGGATATTAAGGACTGTTGTGTGCGTGTCAGTGTGTGTATGTGGAGCCGTTCCAGCCGAAGGAGGAGGAGGAGGAGGAGAACTCGATGCACAACACAGTGGTGATGTTCTCCACCTCTGACCTGTTCACCCTCAGACAGGTAACCGCTCCTGATGAGAGGAGTCACTATATATGTTTGTCTATGTACACATGTATGTAACATGTGTCTGTGTGTGCAGGACATGTGTGTGGTGTGTGGAAGCTTTGGTCGTGGTGCTGAGGGCCGACTGTTGGCCTGTTCTCAGTGTGGACAGTGTTACCATCCCTACTGTGTCAGCGTGAAGGTCAGTGTAGCTTTTTTTTTTGCTCCACGTCAACCTTTGGACTCTGAGATCTGAACCTCAGCTTCTGTCTGCAGGTCACTCGGGTTGTGCTGACGAAAGGGTGGCGCTGTCTGGAGTGCACGGTGTGTGAGGCGTGTGGCGAGGCCAGCGACCCTGGGAGACTGTTGCTATGCGATGACTGTGACATCAGCTATCACACCTACTGCCTGGACCCGCCCCTTCTGACTGTCCCTAAGGGAGCCTGGAAGTGCAAGTGGTGGGTCACCCGACTGTGTGTGTGTGTGTGTGTGTGTGTGTGTGTGTGTGTGTGTGTGTGTGTGTGTGTGTGTGTGTGTGTTGGTCCTCAGATGTTTATGTGTGTATGCGTGTCGTCCACTTTGACGGTGTGTGTGTTCTCAGGTGTGTGTGGTGTGTGAAGTGCGGATCCGCCTCCCCCGGCCTGCAGTGTGATTGGCAGGATAACTACAGTCACTGTGGACCGTGTGCCAGTCTGAGCCGCTGTCCTCTCTGCCAGAGACATTACACACAAGACGACCTGATACTGCAGTGTCAGCAGTGTGACAGGTAACACACACACAGACATTTAAACAGAACAGTAAATACCTGAGCAGTAAGGTAACTTCTTCTTCTTTGTGTGTTTGTAGGTGGGTCCACGCTGTGTGTCAGGGCTTGAACACTGAAGAAGAGGTGGAGGCTGCGGCCGACGAAGGCTTCGACTGCCAGCTATGCCGAACACACAGCCGTAGCTCTTGCGGTAAAAACGCAGGCTAACGGCTAACACAACCGTCGTACTGAGCTTCACCGCTGCATTTGATGCTCTTAGTTTGATTTGGAACGCTTGGGTGGTTTGTATTCATCTGATGCCTGTGTGTTTCAGGGAGGTCAGACAGGTTGGACTCCCCCTTCACGGCTCAGATCGTCTCCAGGATCAGAGAACCAGGTCCGACTTATGTTTGTGGAGATACCAAATGTTTCACAGCATGAGTAGAAAATACATCATTCATATGTATGATATGGATCAACAATAATGATGATGATGATGATGATGATGCTGTTTGTGTGTGCAGATGTGAAGACATACACTCAGGACGGAGTGTGTCTCACGGAGTCGGGTCTCTCTCACCTGCAGTCTCTGGTGGAACCTCTCACATCACCGCGCAGCTACCGCAGGTGAGCCGACTCTCCTTAATCAGTGCATTCAATGGTTGATGATTCATTTATTTAAAATGTATGTATGAATAATAACTTGAGTCATAAACCTGTCAATTGGAGTAATGATGGTCTCCAGATATCCAACTCTAATGCTGCGTTCACACCAAAAGCGAAATATTCGCGCGAGTAGATTCAATGCACAGACACATCTGGTCGTGAATGAGACGAATTTAATCGGGCGGTGCGAAAGACGTGGGACGCGAAAAAGCGACAGACGCTGTTTTGCGAACGCCAATCAGCGTTGAGATGTTCCGCTCGTAATCACCGCCGTCCTGCTGCCACAGCGTGAATACGCTTTATGAAACTGCCAGAGACTGAACGCCTGTAAGTTAGTTTGTGTAACCGAGAGACTCACCGATCCGACACATCAGGTCATCAGACCGGCTGCTGGTCCGCCTGAAGCCGCGCTGGAAGCCGCAGTCATCCAGACGCACTTCCTGGAGGAGTCTGTGACATTCAAGCTGTGTGCGGCGACAGATGATGTCATGAACCCGAACACAACACGTTTGCGGTTCTGACGTTTGTCATTCACACAACAAATAAAGAAAGAAAAAAGAAATAATGGTTTATTTCCATGGTGGATAGCGGAAACGTAACTGTCTTTATGGAAAAAAGCCGAGGTAATAAGCCAGAGATAAGCCACGCCCCCTTTCACTAGTCTAGCTGACAAAATTTGCTTCGCTTTTGGCTCCGCCTCTTGGATCAACGGGGTGGAGCTTCGGTTGACCTGTTGGTAGGTTAACAATGAGGGCTTTGATCAGTTGTTTCTTGATCAGGTGTAAACCCAAACTGAAGCTGAGGATCATCAACCAGAACAGTGTGTCCGTTATGCAAACTCCAACTGACACTGACCCCCCCTCCAAGCAAGACCCCAGCAGAGGTCAGAGGTCACATACATACATATACACACACACACACACACTTTCGCTTTATCCCTCGTCAAAAAAAAGCATCCTATGTTTCCTCCAGGTGACTTGGAATGTGAGATAAAATCTGACTCCAGCCCTGAGCGAGACCACGATGATGTCACAAAGGAGTGTCAGGTTACCGATGGCAACCAGAAGAGGAAAAGGAAACCCTACAGGCCTGGTGAGGAGTTACAGGAGAGAGAATCAGGAGGTGGATCTCAGCCTAATCGCCATCAGGCGATGGGACATGGCAGGCTGTCAACTTCTGTCACATGATCCACCTGTCTCCCTTCCTCCCCACCTGTCTGTCTCTCAGGTATTGGTGGGTTCATGGTGCGTCAGCGTGGAGGAAAATCCGGTCCAAGCCGAATCAAACTGTGCAGAAAAGATTTACCAGAGAGGCTGCTGGGCAACGAAGGTGAAGCTTCACAAACCTGTACCTGTGTTTTTACTCAGCAAGTTTGTTAATATTATGGTCTGTCATACATCAGGCCTTTTGGTTGCAGACGTTTCCCTGGAGACGCTGTTCCCTGCCGAGCAGACTAATGAGAAGGTGAAGAAGAGGTACAGAAAGAAGAAGACTAAGCTGGAGGAGGCGTTCCCTTCCTACCTCCAGGTAACGCACGGACACACACACACACACACACACACACACACACACATATATACTGTAAATCTGACTGTCTCACCCTCTCTCCAGGAGGCCTTCTTTGGTCGCGTTCTTCTAGACGTGAGCCGGCAAGCAGACACAAGGCGGGACTCCGAGACGCTGAGTACTGGCAAATCAGGAGAAACGATGGGTGAAATAAAAAGCCCCGCCCATGCATTACATAGCCCCTCCCCCTCAGGCCGTCCGCTTGGCACCGTGGGGGCCGACGCCATGAAGAAGGAGGGAACGCTGCGTGAGTTTTTCATTTATTCAAATCCTATTTGCATTTCTTCATCTTTCATTTGTGTTTTGATTTACATTGTGAATCACGTGTGTGTTTTCATGGTGTGTGTTTGTGTGTGTGTGTGTGTGTGTGTGTCTGTCACTGTCCAGACATGTCGGAGGACGCTCTGCTGGATCTGTCTGATGTTCTCAGCACTGATCCTCACATACTGGGCTCAGGACACACAGGTAGACACACAGGTAGACACACACCCACATACATCTGGGTGACTGATTACCACCCTCCCCTCCTCTAGTGTGTCTTCATTATCAGGAAAGTCTTTATAGAGTCCAGATGGAAACAGTGCAGGGATACCAACGAAGAAGAGTGTTCACACCGTCTTTGTTTTCAGGTCACTTCCAGGTGGAACGCTCCCTCTCTCCCTTTGGTAAGACCCCCACCGTCTGCTCCTCCTTCTGTGCCTCTTTCTCCTGCGAGTGTCCCTGACTGCTTCTTCTTCTCCTGCGAGTGTCCCTGACTGCTTCTTCTTCTCCTGCGAGTGTCCCTGACTGCTTCTTCTTCTCCTGCGAGTGTCCCTGACTGCTTCTTCTTCTCCTGCAGATGTCCCTGACTGCTTCTTCTTCTCCTGCAGATGTCCCTGACTGCTTCTTCTTCTCCTGCGAGTGTCCCTGACTGCTTCTTCTTCTCCTGCGAGTGTCCCTGACTGCTTCTTCTTCTCCTGCGAGTGTCCCTGACTGCTTCTTCTTCTCCTGCAGATGTCCCTGACTGCTTCTTCTTCTCCTGCGAGTGTCCCTGACTGCTTCTTCTTCTCCTGCGAGTGTCCCTGACTGCTTCTTCTTCTCCTGCGAGTGTCCCTGACTGCTTCTTCTTCTCCTGCGAGTGTCCCTGACTGCTTCTTCTTCTCCTGCGAGTGTCCCTGACTGCTTCTTCTTCTCCTGCAGATGTCCCTGACTGCTTCTTCTTCTCCTGCAGATGTCCCTGACTGCTTCTTCTTCTCCTGCAGATGTCCCTGACTGCTTCTTCTTCTCCTGCAGATGTCCCTGACTGCTTCTTCTTCTCCTGCGAGTGTCCCCGACTGCTTCCCCTCACCTGTTTATCTGTCTCTTCTTCTGTATTTCTTAGCCGGTCTGGACATTGGCTTGATTGGTGGTGACAGGACAGGAAGTGGTGGCCGTGGCATCAGGGCGGTTCAGGAAGAGCCTCTCGATGCCATCTTAAGTCCAGAGCTCGACAAGATGGTCGCTGACGGTGAGACTTTTTCAATTTATATTTTTAATCAGGTCTAACAGTTTCTTCGAAATTTAACATTAATTTATTCATCGTCAACTGCTGTCAGCGGCTTTACTGCGAGCTCCTCACTAATGGCTGAGCTTCTCACCCTCTAAGGGAGACGCCAGCCACTCTCCTGAGGAAACCCATTTTGGCCGCTTGTACCCGTGACCTAGTTCTTTCGGTCATTTCGCCCGTCCTTCATGACCATTAGGTGAGGGTAGGAACGAAGATTGGCCGGTAGATCGAGAGCTTTGCCTTCCGGCTCAGCTCTCTTTTTGTCACAACGGCGCGGTAAAGCGAGTCTCGCCCCGCTGCTCCGATTCTCCGGCCAAACTCACACTCCATCCTCCCCTCACTCGTGAACAAGACCCCGAGGTACTTGAACTCCTTCACTTGGGGTAAGGACACATTCCCTTTCCGGAGTAGGGAGTAGGCAATCCCATAGGTTTCCTGCTGAGAACCATGGCCTCAGATGTTGAGGTCCTAATTCTCATCCCAACCACTTCACAGTGGGCAACGAACTGCTCCAGTGAGAGTTGGAGTCACAGACAGAGGATGCCATCAGGACCACATCATCTGCAAAAAGCAGCGATGAAATCCACAGCCCCGAAAACCGCATTGTTCCTCTTCAATCCTTGGTTCGACTATCAACCGAACTCTGCTTTTCAGCACCTTGGAGTAGACTTTGCTGGGTTTCGGCTTTCAGCATCTCTCATTGATGGATCTCATCGATCCACGGGGCTTTGCCACTGCAAAGTTGTTTGACTACCTCAGTGACCTTCTAGTTCGCAGCAGCCTCTGTGTCTGTTTATAAATCTATAATGCACGTACAACAGTATGCTTATAGACATATGTATCAGTAATCAATAATGTATAGCAGTTAACTCATCAGTTATGTTATTTTTCAGGAGCCATCCTCAGCAAACTGTACAACATCCCAGGTGAGTCCTGATCACGTGAGCAAAGGAGACTTCTTCCTCCATATTTATGGTCAACCGCTTACTGAATATCATTCATATCATATCAGATTGTTTCCAAATGAAGCTCTAAATGTCATATTTTATGACCATCTCTATTCCTTAATCCTCAATGAAAGAGGTCCCTCGTCTTTCACTCCGTCGAGTTATTGGAAAAGACATCGAATCTACAAATACTATAATACCAATATTATGACATATTTAAACACAACTAGAACAAGCTACCAAACATTGTGGAGTTACATTTATATTCTATGAAGCTCGTCGTGTTCTGAACTCATAACAGTCATGTGAAGTATGTTATAGCGTTTATGGTGAATCCCTGGTTGGATAGGGCAATCAGATTTAGTTTGTGACGGTGTGTGTCTGTGTGTGTGTAGAGCTGGAGGGAAAGGACGTAGAGGAGGTCTTCACTGCTGTTCTCAGTCCGAACCGCAGCATCAACCAACATTCTGAGCAGAGCCAACGCACACAAACTGCTGTTGGGAGTAAGACAAACACACACCACACAGGTACACACAAACAAAACAGACCCTAAGTTACAAATAGACACACTTGATTGGGTCCTGTTACAGTTTTCCTCCTTCAGTACAAAGGCATATCTACGAAGATGACACTAAAGTTAAATCTAAACTGACTCTACCTCAACTATATTCCCACTCTACTCCAAATGAAAGCAGTCAATATTATCACGGAGATTCAATTAATGTAACGGAAAAAATAAAAGGTTGAATATTATTGTGATTATTATTATTACGGATGGATAATTAAACCTCTGTCCTTCAGCAACAACGACGTTTCCTCGTCTACCGCTGATGAACGGCCTGACGGGAGCTCCTTCTCATTTTCCTAACACTCCCATGATATCCAGCGGTGCCCAGAGTCCAACGGGCTTTAGGGTACCGCCTCTGGACAGCACAGCCCCCGGGCTGGCCTCAACCAATCGGGTGTCAGCAAGAGGAGGCGAGCAGGACGTCATGTCGACTGCTCAGAGGGGCATGTTGAAGTGGGAGAAGGAGGAAACTCTGGGAGACATGGCCACTGTTGCTCCTGTCCTCTACTGTAACACCAAGTTCCCCCAGCTGAGAGAGCAGCATCCTGGTACGAACACACTAAATATTTCTTGTTACATTACATTACATTACATTACATGTCATTTAGCTGACGCTTTTATCCAAAGCGACGTACAATAAGTGCATTCAACCATAGGGTACAAACTCAGGAGAACAAGAAACAAGAAAGTGCAATTTCCTCAAAAATAAGCGAATTTACAATTTGCTATAGATGAGTGACGTCACAAGTACAATTTAAGTGCTACAATTTGTTAGTCTTTAGTCGAGGTAGAGTCTGAAGAGGTGTGTCTTTAGTTTGCGGCGGAAGATGTGAAGGCTCTCTGCGGTCCTGATGTCTTCAGAGAGCGCGTTCCACCATTTCGGCGCAAGGACAGCGAAGAGTCGAGACCTAGTCGAGTGTTTTGCTCTCAGTGAGGGAGGGACGAGTAGTTTTGCAGATGCAGAGCGGAGAGTGCGGGTTGGGATGTAGGGTTTGACCATGTCCTGGATGTAAGCTGGACCCGATCCATTCACAGCATGGTACGTGAGCACCAGTGTTTTGAACTGGATGCGGGCGGCCACCGGTAGCCAGTGAAGAGAGCGGAGGAGTGGAGTAGTGTGGGAGAATTTCGGAAGGTTGAAGACCAGTCGAGCTGCTGCATTCTGAATGAGCTGCAGAGGTCGAATGGCGGTGGCAGGGAGACCTGCCAGGAGGGAGTTGCAGTAGTCCAGGCGGGAGATGACAAGAGCCTGAATCAGTACCTGCGCTGCCTTCTGAGTGAGAAAGGGACGTATTCTCCTGATGTTGTAGAGCGTGTATCTAC